GAGAGAGAGAGATAGATAGAGAGAGAGAGAGAGAGATAGATAGAGACGAATCACCAGTATAATTTAGTACTATGAAATTAAACCTCTTATTATTATTGGCGATGGTGAATCAACTTGACTCGAAGGTCTAGCACAATGGATGAAGTTTATGGATTTCAAGGTGTTCACTGTTCACTGTTCACTGTTCACTGTTCACTGTTCACAAGGCAAGGGCAAGGCAAGGTTCAGCTAGCAGGGTCAGGGTGTACGGAGTAAGGTAGCTTTCTGCTAGGCGGCCCGATAGTTCGGTTAGTCGTTTTACAGTAGCGTCCCCTGATTCCCTGCAACGGAACGTTGGAAATGATTGAAAAGGGGCACCATTAATAATATATTAATAATTCTCGGTCTTCTCATCTCATCTCCGAATAATAATAACTTCCTACGTCATTGATAAAAAGTTATTCCTCAAAGTGGGGGGAAGAGTCTACATCACGGAGTGTATATCTCTCAAGAAAAATCCCGTCGCCACGTCCTCAGACGAGATTCCCAGTAGGATTCTCTCTGAGAAGACCATTCAAGACAAGCATCTACTTGTGCGTGTTTTGCAAATTGCAATCCGTATTTTCAATTGTCAATTGACGCTCAGTGCGACATATGCCCTGTTAATCAATGAATGGGGTAAGGAGCGCCTCTCGAGCTCACTTCCCCCCCCCCCCCCCCCATCGCCTCAATAACCCACATTTTGAGGATAATATACCCATATGTTCGTCAACGCCGGTCTTGTACATGCAACTAGAGGGAGAGCCCTTATATTGTCCCTTCCCTTTGCATCTATCATGTACATTGCTTACGATCAAGCTTAGAATTGGGAAAGAGCTGGTGCGGGTTGACCCCGCAATAAATAATCTTATAATTTGCATCCTTCTACTACACGGTTCAAGTTCAATTTGCCTAGGAAATGAATTTCCGTTGCTATTATTGGCCAGTTTGGGCTGTGACTTGGCTTCCTCCAATGAAAAGGTCCTGTGTCGAAACCAAACTTAAGTTGAGCCTACTACTTCGTAAAATGGAAAGATCAACCATCCGATCGCAACTTCACCTAAATAAAATGCACTGCTTTTTTCCATTTACCTTCCTCAAGTTGGGGACAGCGACGAAAAACACATTCATTTTGAAACATCAAGTTGTTATATCTTTTCATTATATTCTGGCTATTTTCCATTTCAGAGACGCTTGGCTTCTTCTCGCAATTGGCTTGGCCTTTTTTTGAACGCAGGGTTGGGAGACGGAGCCTTGTGTTATGTTTTCAAAAATCTCTCAGGTAATTCGCGCATTTCTTATTGGAATTGGGAATAGAAAGCTTCAAAGCATCAACAACCAACATTCATCAACATAGCTACGACAGATCTAAGCATTCCATATCGTGCTGTCCACAGACTATATTCCGAGGATATACATGCAACTCCAGAACTCCAAACTCTGCACCAACATGTCGCTTCGCTCATCCTTAAGCATGATCTCAAAACTCATCTTCACAAGTCTCATCCTCGGCTTTCTTCTCCATCTTGCAATCACAACAATGTCCGACCGGCAAGGTTTCTCATTTATATTCGGAGCAACATCACCTCCAGCATACCGAGCCCGTTTTTCATGCGGCGCAGACGATCAATCGCGTTTGCCGAATAGCTATATCGTGTGGCTAGCGCCAGGTTACTCGCTCCAAGAACACGCAATGACAATAAGACACAATGTACATCTGCATTTCCGTAGCGAGACGGATGTCTATATTACGTCAGGCGGGAAAGTCATATACTGTGGCTTCGACATCAGTGATGAACTTCTAGAGGTCATTAGGGCAGATGAGAATGTCGAGTTGGTTGAGTGCCATACTTCTGGCAAGATGGATAGCTCTTGAGACCACCTCGGAGAATTTTCTTTGCTGATGATGTATTATGGGTCTGTCCAAAACTTGTAGGTGCTGTAGACGCTGAAGATCCTTAAATACTAGGACGGGTAGAATAGATGGTGAAGCCAGGGGTCGGAATCTGCGTCTAAGGATGCATAGCAGTCGAGTTGGCAATTCAGGGTTATCTTGTTCTAAGGAATTGCATTTGAATTATTCGTATTCGTATTTGTATTTGTCTTACACTCCTCTGACTTATTTTGCTACACTCAAGTCCAGTGTCTTCTCTTTGAGACTCTTCGGGTTCAACTCGTCATTTGACCTTGCAATTGTCAGAATCCCTTTATCACTGCTCCATCCACATCCTAAATGGTAGGGGTAAGATACTCTTGTCCAAATAGAACCACTGCGCTTTCACAACTTCAGCCCCGTCAGCCCTGTCCACCCCGCAGTTTGTTTCTTCATTCCTCTTGTCAGCCTCTCCAGATAATATGGGTTCTGAGTCACATGTTGCCTCAGCAGATGTCAACACCCTTAATTGAACCCCAAAGATCACAGAACCCCTTGAAATCCAATCAAGATACAAAAGCACAAAGGATCTCCTTACTCTTACTACCCCGACATGGAGCCTGAAATCTTGCTATTAGTCTATTATCCCAACGTAATCAACTTCTTCTTCCACTTCTCTTCTTCTTCCGGCTGCCAAGCATCAATATGCATCTTTCCAATTCCGATCCGATAAGCAATCCCTTCAATATACTCTACCGCCAAAAATTCATACAAAGGAAACGGCTTATACGCATCATATCTCCGTCTATCAAAACCCAAATCCCACATTGCATCTTGGCTGTCCAATTCGTCCGGGAAGAAGTTTTCTTCATTGGTTATCTCCTTCTCGTCATCATACTCCTCGAGCGATTTCTCACTCCACGGCTTCTCGAGTTCTGCCCCATCGCCACTGTACAGCGTAGGTGGCTTTTCCAGCGGTTCCTTTTTCACTGCCCGGATTTCTTTGTGCGAATGGCTATGTCGAGATCTAGTTATTATGACTATGCCGTAGGACTTCCCGCGCATGCCCAGAGTAGGAAGTAGTTCTACTGGGACTCGGAAATATCCAAAGTTGTACCCTTTTTTATCTGCCAATTTCAACTCCCAGAGTGGAGAGTTGCCCGTATCTTTCGGGGGCTGCCAATCCGCTGGAAATTTAAGATCGTCGGTCTTGGCCCAGAAACGCAGATGTCCAGTCTCGGGGGCGCATTGGGCTTCAGGACGCCGCTCTGCTTCTGGAGCTGTGGGGTTGCGAAACCAGGAATCCGGGTCAGAGGAGTGGTGGAAATACCGAAATCCAGAACTCGTCCTTTTCTCCACCCATTCATTTCGCCATTCTAGCATTTTCTCTTTGGTGTCTGCGGAGGTCGGCGCACGGTACTCATCACTTGTGAATATCTCGCCAGACTCATCAACCCATTTCACGCGAGACAGCTTTTCTTCTTGATGGAACCGTACCGGTCCCATCCAACCGGCCCAGCTCCAGCTAGGGAACATGGACTTTCCAGTCTCCGGGTCGCGACGGCGCCGGAGGTGACCGCCCCATGGCTCCCACAGCAAGCAATACTCGAGCTCGGTTTGAGGGAGTCCGTATAAGAACTTGCTGCGGAAGATCGGTCGCATTTTCTGGGCTATGCCTTCGAAAGCATTGAGCATGTCGCCTGGGTACGTGAGGTCGCGAGTGACGAAGGACTCTACGGTTCGCTGGTAGGTGACGATATTGATGCTCCACCGTGACGGGATGGTATCCTTGCCCGTGTCTTCCATCGGATATGTCACCGGTTTGCGAGCCTGCAACTTGGTATCGAGATCCTCCGCTTGGCACCCGGCCACATGGTCGCATTTGAAAAACATCTGCTGCTCGGTGATGAACAGAGTTCGCTTGGTCAAGATCCTCTCCTGGAACGTCCACGCCCTGGTATTCCATTTAGATTCCCCAACACTTTTATCGAAAGACCATGGTCGGTTCGCCAGACAGATATCTTGAATAGTCTCCGCTCTTTGCATCACAGATCGAGAACCCGGCCGTACGCCGGGAATGCCTGCCTCAGCTCCTTCGCCGTACGCAACTGCAATGGTCAAGACCGAATGGCCATAGATCTGATCCATTGCTGAAATCTGCGCTTGCTTGTCGTCTGCATCATTCTGGATTATGCAGAGCGCATCTACCCAAAGGTACCGATCCATGAGTTTAGGCACCAAATACATGGCGTCTTTGATCGTCTGCGGGATCAGATGCTCGTATTTCGATAACGCATTCTCCTGTGCCAGCTCGTCAAAGTTCTCATTGAGCAGTTTAAGTGTCTCCCCAGTTCCCCACGTATAACTAAGCGTTAGATATTGAAAAGTGGAGTCAGCAGACACGATACACATTTGTTTTGTATCGATAAGCCGGAAACCAACAGGGAGACTATAGCTATCCGTCTGTGACGCATGGTCCTCGTGAACAGGGGAGAGGTGGTACCGACACTTCCGATTCCAAAACATAGGTAGCATGAAATCAATCTGCGACGATGGAACGATACGGCCCTTTTCCTTGATATTGAGCCAGTAGCCCGTATCAACAGTATGGATAAACAGCGGTGGAGTCTCCCTACCGGGCAAGGGATTGGGCTTAAGCCATAACAGCAGCTCATGCGGTGTAGACAAATCCACTACCTTCATAGTAGAAATCATAGATACCATAATCGCCTTTCCCTCATGCTCAACCGGCACAACGCCAGCACCGAAATTATTATCAACCGTCTGCTTCACCAATCGGCAGAACGCACAACTCTGCTTCTCCAGAATTCTCGCGAAGCTATCCAAGGGGATTTCCTTGACAGCTTGCCACGGGTTTGTTGTGAAGATAAGGAACTTGAAGTTGATGCGTCGGCACACAGCGCAGAGGAAAGACGGACTATCTTCTGGCAAGATTTCCGGGTCCTCAATCACCCATTTCAAAAGTGGTGGTTTTTCATTAGAAGTAGTCGCCATAGTTAACGCTAGTAATATGAAAACCAAAATTTAAGATCGTTTGATCGATCGACTTTGAGGTTATATATACCTACCCGCCCCCCTGCTGGCAGCCTGGTGAATCTTGGCATATGCAAATATACGCCACCAATGAACTAGACCGAGAAAGACTTTCAGCTCGTGAGAAGTCGAGCATGCCAATCGACAATACGAAACGCTTTAACAAACGCGCCTACTAAGACCCAATTATAACGAAACAACAAACGCCTCTCGCCGTCGCTACTAACTGTGAACTTCAAGAAAGAGGACCCGCAGAACGTTTTCCCCCTTTTCCTATCAAGTCACCGCTTTCAGAACAAAGATTACAAGTGGTTCAGCTATGGAAGACACTCGGGAGGACTTTGACAGCCTGTTATGGGATAAGAATGATGAGTAATGGGAAAAGGTGCAGCCAGAGCTGCGTTAGAGATCCGCAATCTGCCTTGTGGAGGCATTAGCAAGTGAAAGTTTGATTGTCCTTCAACCTGGATCACTCCAATGAATATTGGCGGGTATAACATTGTGTATATATTACGGATTAAAGGCTTCTCCTCTGATACCGTAGTTCGAAGACCCATTCCGTGCTTCGCCCAATTCCCTAAGGAGAAGACCTTGATCAAGGCTGCAACTGCCAGCTATATCGAGAAGCGAACCCATATCCCAACTGCCCCAGTCCTTTTCCACGGAATGAATTCTGAGCTAGGATGCTATCTTATAAAGTCTATCCAACATCAGCACTCAATGTCGACTGCCCTCAACGCCGTCAATGACAATACTGACGAAACCTTTGTTTTGGATACTAATATATCAGAGGATATCCACAAGGCTATATCTTCTAAGCTCGGCTAAGAAAATAGCTATGGAATCCTTTGTAAAACGGAAGATGGAGGAAATACAAGAGCGTAAATATGTTGAGTGGGATCCGGAGGATACAAGAATGCGTTTGGCTGAGGTGCTATTTGACTAGACCAAGTGTGGAGAATGATATTTATATTCGACAAAATGAAAGAATATTCTCCTTTCTCTACTCTTTGGTTGAGTCGATTTTTCCGACTGGTCCTTGAGCAAAATTAAAATTCCAAGGGTAACATTCATATGCTGTCCCCGCCAACCATATCCTATGCATCCAAGTGGCTTGCCGTAAGTCGACTTGCGAATTGAGAAGGGGGAAGAAGATAGCAGAGATAAAACGGAAATAAAGTCCTGCTATTATTCACTGCAAAAAGCACTAACTCATTATCGTAGAAGGTCCAGGTGGCGCTTATAATAGCTTCCCCATATCTGATGCGGCTTATTAGTTGTATCAAATAAGAGTTGATAAGCTTTGCTTTGCTTCTTACGGAAGGAAGATAGGATATTTGAAGTCTAGAATCTGCGGAAGAGCCGAAGTCTTGTGGTCTATCATCTTGCATGCCTTCTATCTATGTATTTGTACAAAATTTTGGAGAAAGCAATCGCCGTCTCGTCAAATCTAGAACTTGTAGACTTGGTCCTTGGTGTATCCAAGTTCATGAAGAATGCTTCCATCAATTTCACCTTGGTCCGAAGGTGACTTCTTAGGTCCAGAAATGGCCTTGTACATGCCCGGTGGCCCGCAAACGAAAATCTTGATGTTCTCCGTCTTTGGCTCAGGGAGGACTGTCTTTAGCAGCTCCTTGTTGATAAAGCCCTTTCCACCGGTCCACTCCTTTGGTGGCTGGCCCAAGACGTAGAATGCACGGAAACGTTGTGGGTATTTGTTCTCGAGTTCCTGGAATTCCTGCTTCAGAAGAATATCCTCCTCTGTGACGTTTGCGAAGACCAGGGTAACTTTGGTCTTGTCATCTGGGTTTTTGAAGATTGCGCGGGCAAGTTGGTACATGGGAGTGATTCCAGTTCCTCCAGAAATCAGGGCAATGTGGCTGTGCTTGTTGGCCGTCCATGGATATTTGGGGATCGGGCCCTTGAAGTCGAGTCGCTGACCTGGCTTCATATTGTGCATGTGTTCCGACATTACACCATTGGGGTATTTCTTGACGAGAAGATCTATAAATCCCGTTTCCTCTGCACCGGATTAGCACAGTACTGTCATATTTCGAGGCTATATTCATACCTTCGTCGTTGACTGGAGTGTATGGTCGGATGGCAGGCTTCTCCATCTCTGGGCCCTTGTACTTGGTAATGACAGCAGATGCAACACTAAGGCCACTGACCTGATCTGCCTCTGGTAGCTCAAAACGGAATTTTTTGGTGTTGTGGTTGATGTTCTCAACACTATCCAACTTCAAGCTGACGAAGCCCTGGTCACCTCCGGTTAATGCGGCCTTAGCAACACCTTCTGCCTGTGTTTTGCCTTTCCCAACGACTTCCTTGGCCTTTGCTTCGGCATCTTTAGCTGCGTTTCTGACCTTCGATGCATTGTCGCCTGAGTTGTAGAAATAGTATCCGCCTCCAGCACCAACAGCGGCTGCGATTGCACCATAGAGTAATGTGTTCGAGCCGCCGCTTGCTGGTTCCGTTGCATATCTACGGTATTGCTAGACGGGTTTATTAGCTTTGTATTCAGCCTGTACGTTGATTGGGTTTGCGAATGGCGCGTAGATTGTGAACAGCGCATTCGACTGGATATTGACCAACATAAGCTTCAAAATAGACAACTCACGGTCTTCAACGGCTGAGCCGCTCGGAAAGCCTGTCTTGCAAACATGATTGAAATTGGAGAACTGTGTGTGAAAGGATTGAAGGTCGCTTGCTTTGGAGGGAGAAGCTTGGTAAGTTCTTCAAAAGATGGTAGGATTTGGCCCTCGCGTACCATGACGTCGGAAACTCCCGCTAGTCTGAAATGGGACAGGCCCCTCTCCCTCTTCTCCAAGGTCAATATCAGTGAGGACGGAAGATCTCCTATGTTGACTTCAGTGTTTGAAGATGCGATTCGAGACAGTACGACGAAGACCTAGCAAGGCTACCTTAGGCTGCGCGAGTGCCATCTATGAAATATATATATACTCGGGTTATATCCCTTCCTTACTTCACCTCTACCGCATTCGTTGCCTTGCGTTCAACACCGCCATTTCTTTGTTGCTTTGGTGGCATTTCAGTACCATACCCATCGTGCAGTGCTATGCAGTTCCGTCTATCCTGCCTCCATGTCCAAATTTGGAGCTCTATGTAAATACTCGTATTGGGCTACTTGAGAAGAACGCTTATGGTGTATGGTACATTTTGGTAGCCTTGAGGGACGAGAGTACTGTGCTGGTGTCATTCAAGGGCCACTCGGGGCTTCTTCGAAAATGGGACTTGAGCAGGCTTTGCTCACTTTGCTCGCATCGCTCAGCCTTACCTTACACCGTAGTACCTTAATTGAAATGTGTATTGAGGGTGGAAAGCTCTTCATAGGTACAGACCAGGACTTCTCACCAACATTAGACGAAATCGAGATCACACGAGCACCGTGTAACCAACGCCAACCCCAACTCTACCATTGCCTACCTATATAAGCACATTCATATCAGGATTCATTGCTCTCTTTTCGGCATAATCGAAACCCCTCAAAACACACCTACTTTGATCATTTTTCAACATCTACTAATATCTACCATGTCTTTCCCCTCATTAAGTCCCGTGCTTGTAATTGGCGGATGTGGCGGTCTTGGTCACCACCTCGTCCAACTGTTAGTCGAGGACTCCTCTTCTTCTGATATTGCGGTGCTTGATATCAACACGAAAACAATCGAATTGATGGTGTCAAATATCTCGAGGGCAGTCTTTCTTCCCGCCATGAAGTTCTACAAGCAATTCAGGAGGTGAAACCTCGCGTAATCTTTCACACGGCTTCACCCAAATTGATGGTTCAAGCCAACACTCGCCAGCTTTACACCGAAGTCAACGTGAATGGAACCACCTTGCTCCTCGAATGTATCAGAGCAATCGGAGTCACCAAGGCCCTCATTTACACGTCGAGCTCATCCGTGATCCACAACAATATGACCGACCTAGTCAATGCCACAGAAGACGTCCCTCTATGCTTCGAACCCGAGCAAACAGAGTACTACACACACACGAAAGCTGTAGCCGAACAGATCATCCTGTCCGCGAACAAACAGAACCAATTGCTCACGACGATCATCCGCGCTGCTATGCTCTTTGGCGAGGGAGACGCAACATCCACGCCTCAGTTGGTTGGAAATGCTCGAGCTGGGCGCGGAAAGTTTCAGATTGGAAACGGGACCAACTTGTTTGATTTCACATATATTGGCAATACGGCTTATGCGCATGTACTAGCAGCAAAAGCACTTCTCCGAGAGTCTGCAGCTACTGAACCTGTGCCGGAAGATAGCAAGGTTAATGGAGAGGCTTTTGTCATCACAAATGATGATCCGTGGCCATTCTGGGACTACACAAGAGCTATTGGCGCTGCAGCAGGTCATACAGTCAAGAAAGAAGACATATGGGTTGTCTCCGCGACTGCCTACTACTATTTTGTGATCATCTTAGAATGGGCTGCTTGGGTGTTCAGTTTCGGTCGCAAGGAATCAGTAGTCAACCGCCGGATGGTCAAGTATCTCACGATGACTCGAACCTTTGATATCTCTAAAGCCAAAAAGAGACTAGGATATAGACCACAGGTTTCTATGCAAGAAGGGATCCAAAGGACCGTCGATTTCTATGTTGCACGTCATCCAGAGGGGAGGTAGGCCACTTAGTAGGATACCTATGGAGCAACTCTAGCCGCATAACTAATTTATTAGATATTTCACCAATTGATCTTACTATCCAGCTTTTTCTTACTGCGTCGCGTAAATCACCGCAACTACAAGTACACTCCTCATTTTCGAATACAAAGGCAATGGAATGCGTATTTGAAAGAATATTTTAGGAAGTGACAAGTCATGGTCATGCTAATTGTTTTATGTTGTCTAAATAGCGTTCTAAAACGGCCTCGAGAACCAGCGATATATGTTAAGAGTTACCCTTCAGAACCGACAACTGCCAACTGTTTTTCAAGAATCCATTTCAACTTGCTTCTGGACCTTCATCTTGTGAGAAGGAGTCTCGAACAGTCGAACTCCCTATGTTTCAATAATGAGCCTTGAGTGCTCGGTGGAATGGAATCGACAGAACGTTATTAATTCTTGGTCATGCTCCCTTCTTCACCGTGCTATATCAATGCGGTTCAGTGGTGAACACTTTCATACGTACTAAGTCTTCTAGTGGTCCTATGATATTGACTAATATCAGATCGATCTTGCCTCCCGTACCCCAAGAGACATCAAATATCTCAAAAGCCTACAGATCATTCCTCTGGAAGAAAGTCTCCTCGATCCGCAATTCTCAACTGAAAATCTGGATTTCCCCAAGACGCTCGTGGATGACCTGGTGCAGAACGAGTGAGTCGAAACACATTCTCACAATCTGTAATGGCATCAAGTAGCATTCGCTTCAATTGAAAGTCGTTTCCAGTCTCAATTTCGGAGAAGGCACGAACTCCTTTGCCGGCAGAGGCTCTGCCATCGAACATGACGGGATCCGCAAACACCAACGTAAGAGTCTTCAATTTAAGAGGCACTCGCCAGCGTCCTCTTGATTGCAACTCCTTGAAGAACTCGACGCTCTTGTCCAAATCAGCTTGAGAGTGCTGGGAAGTTCCGCTGAGAGACTCTAGATCAGCCTTGTGCAATGGGAATGAGAGGGCCAAGTGGCGGATGTGTTCAGGATTTTTAACCCTGAGAAGAAATGCATCCTGGCCATATATCAGTATTGTTCTCTGGTCGAATCCTACATGAAATCAAGCACAGCAGACACTCGAGCGGCTATGAGACATTTCTTGAGGAGATCTAGCGCAAGGTTCAAACCGAGATGGTTGGCTTAACTTACAACGGCCGTTCCAGCACTGAGAGAGCATGAAGAGTGATATGGTATGTAAAGGGTGTCTTCCTCGTGGTGGAAAAAGGCTTGGCGTGAAAAAAGAGGTGGCCGAAGGTTGCAATTATATCTGTGTTCAGGCAACACGAGCCTTTCATCGAGGTAATATTTTTGGGCGACCTCTCTTGACTCTGAATTGATGCTCAAGAGGGGAGATGGATAGGTTTTGAACGCCCAGCCCTTGTCACTACTCCCTACCGAAGAATTAGTACGAGAAAAAGATGAATTGGAGAAGGAGCTAAAGAGTTCGGGAGTTGTCGATCTCAGCAGTCGGGATTCCACATACTGTGAAATACGTTCTTTTGGCTCCTGACTCGGCGCTCAGCTCCGGAGCTCACAGCGGAAATATAGCACCTTTATATGGGAATATGGCTTACAGTGAGTCTCGACAATTCTAGGCTCTATAGCCATGTCCCATATATTGAGCCGTACCTCAACGGGAAGCTCACCGAATCGCAATAATGAAGTGGTCGCCATAGGTCGTTCAGTCCGGAAAGTCTTGAAGGCTGGATTCCTCGGGCGTCGACGTTTGTGTCAAGCACTTCCCTTCTACTAGGAGGGCAAGGACCATAAATCGAGAAGTGGGTAAAAGCCTTGGACACTTTGAAATGTCCGTTTTACTGGGTGAATCAAGTACAAATTCGAATATCTGTATTTGCAGATACTCTTGAGAATATATCTTTTGGTTGCGAAGAAAAGAAAAGTTATAATTGTGATGTGATAAAGTTGTTGAGGACTAGTACTGGTAGATGGTGTGGTGTGGTGTTGAGCCGGTGTTTAATGCTAACGGATCGGTCCCGCAAAATTACCATGCCCTCTCTTTCGTCCAGACTTGATAGTTGCATTGGACAAACACAGACTCAACTATTCTTTCAATCTGGCATTCCTTGTTCCTTGGGAAGCGTTGCCCTAAGTTTGAGGCTTATTCTTTTACTCCTATTACTGCTGCGAAAAAAAACCCTTGCAAAAGGCGCATTCTCGCATTCTCAACCGCGTCTGCGAAACGCTTAGGGCGCAGACAGAGAATGGGGCTAGGTAAGAACAAGAGAGGAGCGATCAAATTGCGCGAGCAAGAGTTGGCGGCGGGCGGGTAGTACAGAGACGCGCCAGCAATCGGGAGAGATCTTGGGCCGGACATACAAGAACAGACTTGGATATTTTAGGAAGTTTGGCGGGGTCCCCTACAGAGGAGAGACCTAATCTCTTCCGAGACGAGTTGAGCCGCCAAGAGAAGAATCACCATTGAGAGCACTACCATGTTTATTATTTGTGAAGAGTACAATCAGGAATCGGAGCTTGTATGCAATATCTGTTCACTCATAAGGAACTGGAACTCCGAATATGCCACTTCTTCAGAGGAATCATGAGACCGAACCCTTGAAGATAGCCAGGGCTTTTCAAACACCCACCTATTTTGGCTTCTTATACCTACTCCACCTATGTCCCCTTTCCTCCCTCCCAACATCCGGTCCCATATGCCCCTCCTTCCAACAATTCGCACAATACAAATCCCCATCACATCCATCACACTGCACGGTAGCATCATCCTGACAAATGATACACCAGCTATCAATCTCCTCGTCCGAAAACTTCTTCGAAATCTCCTTGGCAGACTTATCAGTCGGTTTAAACGTAGGAGCTGAAGGAAGGCCCAGTTCGTTCGTAGATCCGAGGCCTTTGAGCGCTGCCATCCGTGCAACAATGTCGGTTTCGAAGTCTAGGGATTTCCGGCTGGGTTCTGTGGCTGGTGGTGGAGGTGACGGGAGTGTGGAGGGCGCGGAGGGTAGTGAGAATCCTCCTCTTTCTTTAGTCACGCTATCTTCTTCTTCCTCCTCTTCTCCCTCGCCCTCATTCTCTTTTTCCAACCTAACCTCATCCAAAAGCCGCGCAACAATATCCCGCGCCTCACGTGATTCATCCTCCAATCCAGCCTCCTTCCCCCGCCCATCTCCAGATTTCGTCTCCTCCCCATCATCTAAAGCAAAGACAGACATATCCAGATCTCTTGTCAAGAACTTCTCGCTTGTTTTTCCATCGCCATTCCCCTCTTCATTCCGAGGCTCATCAGCAGCGGGCAATTCATCCCGAGGCAAAGCACTCTTCGCCTCGTTCAAAAGCTTCTGGATATGTTTCGGATCATCAGGATTCAGCGTCCACTGATCGTCTGGTCCGAGATCTGCTAGTAACTCATCGAGCGTCTGCTCGTCGATGTTTTGGTGCAGTGGATCTTGGTCTTCCGTCGGCAAGGCTGTGCTAGACTCTGCATGTGCAGGTGCTTTGGACGGGGGTGCAGGAGATGGGGAGGGAGATAAGGAGCCGTTTCGAAGACTGCGGAGACGGGCGGATAATGCATCTTCTGGTGCTGTTTGTTTTGGTGGCGTTGGTATGGATGGTCTACGGGTATAGTTCAGTATATGTTTTACGAGGGGGGCGAGGTCTAGTCACTTGGATGCATCAAGAGAAATGGTTGACTTTTTGAGGGCATTTAGACGGTCGAGGAGATGTTGGTCGTAGGATGGAGGATCTGCCATTTCCTTTTCAAGGGGGGTTGGTGAGTAAAGTTTGTATTGTGTAATACCTGAATTATGTTCAATGATAGATGCACGAGACCCAAGAATCACTAGCGCGCTGTAGCCCACAAGGCTGAATTTCAGCCTTCTTGGCCGGATGGCTTTAACATCTGAGTCTTGCTATAATTCAGCCTTTTCGGGCATCTTTTGCGTGTGCTGACGACCTTACTATGTGCTATTGTCCCCCGGCCCTGTAGCCTAGCCCTTATGAGACGTGGCGAGTCGAAGCAATAAGTTCGGAGCTCGAGCAGGGCAGCCTAACAAGTTACAGACAGCAGTTAGCATAAGAGCTTATCAAATTCATTTGTATGTGTAAAAATATTTGAAGTCTTTCAGAGAGAAGATTATTATTCGTCAGGTCTGCGTACGACATCCGAGGAACATCCCAACAGACGGTGATGGCCAGGGAAGGTTTCCGCAGTGTCAGACTAAGGATGACGATACAAATGGTTTTCATCATTTGACTTCAGAGTGAACAAGAAAGGTTATTGAAACGTACCGGGTAGAGATTTGGCTTCGAGTTCAACAAAGCGTTGTGGGTTCAGGCTGTTTTGGCAGATGTTGGATCTTTCTAAGCCGAGAATATTGAAGTCATAGAGTAGCTAATTCGTTGCTCAATCGTCCTCATATGATATGCGTCTTCTTTGTGAGGAACGACTTAGACCTGAATTCGTGGCGTTTTCCATCTCGTCGTAATCAAGGTTCTCAAGTCCAGTCTCCACCTTATCCCATGTTCGCTTCCGCAAATCTGGCTTCACATTCTGTTTGAAGAACCCTTTTTCCTTAGCCTGCCGAGCTTTCTTTTCTTTCTTGGTGATCTTCTTGCTTGCTTGTTGTTTATTTGAAGGTTGAGGGACCGGTGTATCGTTTATCGGGCCATCCTCTTCAAGCTCGCCTTCTTCGATCTCTCCTTCTTCAACAGCAGGCTCTGCTATAGGCTCTTCCGTATTATCTCTGGCTTCATGGGCATGTCTTCGGTCTCGCAGAAGGGTCTCGATCTCAGAGTGTCTGAAGATTGCGATCTAGGAACGTTAGTACTGCATAGTATTTGGGCTCGAGCAAGTTTTCAACACTTGCCTGTTCATCTGTCAGGGTTCTCTTCGTACCATCTTCATAATAGCCCAACCCATCATCTTCCTCTTCCTCTTGATAAACCTCTTCTACCGGCCCAAGAAACTGTTGAGAGAAATGATTCATGGGCGAAGTTGAAAAATGTTTCGCGTGAAAGGACGACAAATCATCCTAGAAAACTGTTAGTTCTAGCTTCTCAAGACACACTAACAAATACATACCGATGAAATATCAATTGTAGCCATGGTAGACCGCTGATCCAGAAATGTTAGATGCGACCGTAAGGTAGAAGTCCTCTCTGGGTTAGCTGGCTTGGTCTAGATATTCATTACGGCGGCCGCAAAAGCGCGTTTTATCGAAACGCGATCGCGATGTCTAGCTCCAGCGACGACTAATTCACTCACATCACTTCTTCACTCATATTTCTACCTTTTCTGTTATCTTCCACAGTTACTTGTTTGAGAACCTCCAGCTATTAATTTTGTGCACATTTTATAGTAATAGTAGATTTATTTTTTGCACCAGATCTCCAAAACAAAACCAGTACCCAAATCAATAGCCCTATCAAACTCAAACCACTCAACAGCCTATTCCCTCGAACCAAAATACGACGCGCTGTACGACCAGCAAGGGATCCTTTACAATGCCCCTGTAGTAGTACTCGCAAAGGATGCAATTACTCGTGATGGTCCTGCTGGGTGTCCGCGTGCCAGAAGATCTTGCCTGATGGATTGACCGACAAAGAAATAACCTTCGCAGCCCTGTATGCAATCTTGACGTACCAGCCAAATATGAATACTGAGCCACCTCTTTGCCATAGACACAGAAGAATACCCCGGTTTGAAGATAAGCGGAATGAGTTGCGGAAGATGATCGAGGATCAACGATAGAAGAGTCTATGACTGATGAACACTTAGGTGGAACCGCGAGCACAAAGGAAGCCTCAACATGTTGAATAGCTTATATAAAACCTTACCAAAATGGAACGAACAGAGCGTGGAGCGTGGAAGAAGATTGAGAGCTATATTAGCATATATCATAGCAAAGGGGTATCTTTATAACAGCAAATGCAGCCCAAGTACCATATACTTTTACCTACCAAACTCCTTGCAAATAGCGGAATCTGCCAGCCCAAAATGAAAAGTTCTTCAAACCAGCCGCTTCGGCCGCACCTCGAATCAAATTACCCACAGCTCCGTGGCAGGAGACTGTTACAGTCCTACATCATTGACGGAGTAATTCGAGTGCTTGTTGAAAGGCATCTACGACCTTAGCGTCTGGTTCTCATTAGCTAGGGGCCCATTGGATAGATCATGTTGACACTTACGGTGCTTCTCCTTCGCTTCTAATTCCCTCTCCGCAAGTTGCACGTGTCTCTCTCGAGTTTTGAGACTGTAGAGGTCAGTTGAGGCCACTCAAGATGGCGAGTGATGTGATCATTGGATACTGACCGCTTGGAGGCTCTCCGATCGTCACGGTCTGATGCAGCTTGAGACCAGGTACGGAAAAGCTGAACTTAGTGTTAATATCACACAGGCATTATGTAGAGATGCGTAAAATACCTCAGTATAAACGTCAAACTTCTTCAAGAGTTCTTCCTCGTCCTCGCAGGCGCTTTGTATAGCGGCGTTAAATTCCGCATTGAGACGCTCGTACTCGAACTCTGGTAATTCGGCATCCGGATCTTGGGGGCTGCTCTCTGACTGCGTCTCGTACCCATCGGCAACTGCCTCATCCTCTCCTTGAGATTGTGTCTCGTGTGGCTGACTAGCTTTCCAGGGAGGTTGAGCACTTTGTGGGATCTGGGATTGTGTGGGCAGCTCGACCTTCGGATGCTTCTTCAGACCAAGACTTTGGATCGCTGATGACTTCGTCTCTCCCTCGCTATGAGCTTTGACTGGGCCATCTGGAGCTCGCTTTCTTGCTGGAGTCACTCCGTCAACCGCCATTTGGGATTGAAGTTTCAGTGGCGTTTCTGGTGGTGAGTGAAGAATTGATGACATTTGGAAAGATTTCAAGGCACCAGGCGATTTGAGATTCGTTTTACGATTGCAAAGATCCGTCAATTGATTTGTGGTTTAGATCTGTGAGGTACGAGAACTGGAAAGCGCGAAGAACACGCCGTCAGGTGTTTTGTAATCACGTGGTGATAAACTCGGACACTGGTGACCGATACGAAGTAAAGCCGACCGCCGCCTTGAGCTCAAGCTTGAGATCCAGCCTTGCTACTTACCTGCAAGCGCATTCGTATCACCTCTCCTATCAACGACAACATGGATTCTCTACAAGGTCGCTTCTACTGTCTCTAAGGAAATCCATAATATGTATCGCGTTGAGGATTCCAGACTGGCCAAACTCTCGTGTACCACCAAGTCAAAACAACCCTCTCTACGGTAGGATCAGTACCTAAAACCTTGTTGGCAGGCCCTCGAAGATGCAGTGCGACATATGTTTTCGAACTGGTGGTAACAAGTTGCCATTCCTATGCCCTACCGATGCTCGTAACCAGCTTTATGAAACCCGGGTCCAGAACGCTCAGATCCTACTTGAGAAGGATGCACTCGACCAGAAGATAACATCCCTTCTTTTACCGAAGCCTAAGGGCGATAACACCACGGCTGAAGCATCTACGAGTCGGCAGAAAGTTGGTGCTATAAGTTTCGAGAGAGATCAAGCTCTAGATAGGACGCAGCAGATAATCGTACATGCCGATGAACTGAGGGCCAAAGTTGAGCAAGCGAAGGAGGACATAGCCAAGAGGAAAGTCAACCTTGCTCGCAGAAGTTCGGAACTAGCTTCAGCATCAAATGGAACCGAGGCTAGGAGAGGAAGGCAGACTGAAGAGGTGGAGAAGTCTATTCGTATGACCAAGTACAAGTGGAAGAAGGATCATGCTGCACTTGCCATCTCACGAACCTTCCTCTGCGGCGAGGCTGCGAAGTTATACGGGCTGCGAAGGACTAGAAGGAACGGTGGATTAGAGAATTATATTATCGGCTATGTAGGAATTATTGATTTGAGAGCTATGAACAGCAAGTCTACCCCTTGTCATACAAAATGGCTGTACTAACGGGTTTCCAAAGCTGCAAGTCCTGCCCAGGTATCAACGGCTCTATCACACATTGTGCATCTCCTGATGCTAGCTATGCATTATTTGGCTATACGTCTACCTGCTGAGATAACTCTTCCTCATCGAGATTATCCTCTGCCTACCATATTTCCCCTTGCCTCATCCCATACCTACAAAGATGTACCCTTTCCTAGCAATACTCCTGGGCACTCTTCCAACACTAGCCCAACCGCATCACGACATGCTGAGCAGGCACACTTACCCCGTCCTCGACCCCTATTCATCACAAAACCACTTCCTATCCTAGCAACAGAGGATCCAGCAGCATATGGCCTGTTTATTGAAGGTGTAACACTATTAGCATACGACATCGCATGGGCATGCAAGAGCCAGGGTATTCCTGTAGGAGACGACAGCAGCTTTGATGATATTTGTAATATTGGGAGGAATTTGTATAGCCTACTCATAGGCTCTCGACAACGTCCAGCACCGCCAAGTCGTGTACCATCAGCACAGTCCACGCCGTCAAAGGGTGGAAATCGAGACAGTGAGACAGAGGACAAGAAGTCAAATCCTGATCCGCTCATGGGCAAATATTCTCATGGGACTGCCCTATCATTTCTAGGAAGCGCGGAAGGGACAGAATTTGTGCGCAGCTGGAAGCTATTGAGTCCTGTGAAACTAGCAGATAGACTCAAGGCGAAGCTGATGAGTGAAGTTGCTAATGCCGAATGGGAGGTATTGGATGAAGATGCATGGGCAGTAGACGATGAAATGGGTGATGATGGAGTCATTGTAGGGGCAAGGAAGGAGGGGGATAGGGGAATAGGCTTAGGGATGCAAAGTTTCATGAGTATGAAGACTGTAATGGATGCCGTGGAAATGGTAGGAGGTGGTGATGGGGATAGGAAGCCAGGAACTAGCGGCTGGACGAAGCTGAAGCCTAGGTAGCCTGGATGATGTTATTTCAAGCTTCTGGCTGGAGTTGGGCATCTATCAGGCGTTTGGTAGAGGCGGCATATTTGTCTGGGATAATAGAAACATCTACTGAAAGTTCCCCGTTGAAGTTTCGGGCGCCTCCAAGCTTCTATCTTCCAGAGTCTGAAGATCTTTACTTGCAAGACAAAACACAAGACCGCGCATATACAGGGAGAAGACAGCCAGCGCATTCACCTTCCCTCGGCCAAGCTGCATCTTGACGCTGGCGTCTATAATTTCGATGAACATTCTTCGTTCTGCGCCTGGCCGTCGAGCAAACATAACCAATTATTCACAATTTCATCATAGTCGTAAGCTGAAATGACTGCACCTACGCCATGTGTCTCAGTCAACGGCGGTCAATCGCAAAACGTGGACGAGTCACATTGAATCGCAAGCGCCTTCATTCCTAGCCAATAACCTTGTTGCCATCAAGAAATCACCTTGGAATGATGATTTGTCTCATACTCGGACGTCGATTCTTTTGCCTATCCATCTCATGGCCCCGAGGGCGGCCACCTTACCGCCGAAATAAAAAATAATTGAAGCTAGGCCAGACATCGGGTCTCCCACTGCGACGGTGATGGAAAACATGCCTGCATAGTTGAAAAGGCTAGGAAACGGGACGAATACTTTGGAACTTCAAACTTGAAGACAAACCTCGAAGGGAAGTGAGAGAGAGAGAGAAGAAAACTCTTCGCAGTCCTGGCCTTCTATTCATGGGAATGCTCGCCGATGCCCCTCACCCCCCTTACGATGGAGGCAGGTACGGCTCTGAAATTCTGAAATGCAGGTACGTGGCAGACCAAGCCAAGCCAGTCCAGTCAACGAAAAGCCCGAAAACAGTCCCGATATCAATTGCAACTTTGTCAAAAGGTGGGAGGAACAGCGCTCAAGAGTCATGTACTGTATCAGAAGGCCTTCAGAAATTTTCACTCGACGAAAGAAAAAAAAACGACCCTTTTGAAGATGTGTCGACGAGAGTGGTGGGTGTCTGTCCCTCTGAAGCATGCATGATCCTCTAGGAGATTACCCATGAGATTGGATTGGGGCGAGGTTTTCATATGGGGGATTGGAAGTTCTTAGGCATTCTAAGAAGTACGTGCACAGTGAAGTGTGTGCAATTGGAATCTCCGTTTTAGGCGAAGATGCGAAATGAGTCCACTTTAGGGCAGTGATTGCTTTTCAATGCCCTGGCCTGGCCTGGCCTGGCCATTTTAATTATGGACCAAGTAACTCGGAAGGATGAATATACTGTCCATCTCAAATCCTCTATAATACCCCGTAATCGATGTCCAACAACTCAATAGATCCATCATCCATGACCCATAATCTACCCACCACAATAAACAACAAACGAGCGATTTGTAAATATAAACAGGGGACAGCGTGGAGACTGAAGTTCTAGAATTCTATCTAGAATCCTGTAGTGGAAAATCTCTGCACAAATTCGGGATAATTTATCCACAGTGATAAGGGATATATGGAGCATAAATTTCTCTTATGCACATTCGTCAGGCTTATCGGCTAGGAAAATGACACCAAAGTGCCAAGTTTATAGCGGGGAGCGCGTGATCAGGGTATCATGACTCTTGTCAAGAACTACTCGAGTATTATTATGAATAATACTAGATCAGAGTCTTGCACTACCTATAGTATAGTATCTGTTGTTAAAGAAACGGTGGAGTGTGGTGGGGTGGTGAGTGGATCGTATCGTAGTGTGCTTACGCGGAGTAAAGAAACGGGGACCCAGAGAAAGCTTGGCCATGATCTCCCGCCCGCTGGAAGTGGTGTGGCACCAGGAACAGGCATGTGCCACACACGATTATTCCCGTTAAAGCAGGTAATTTGGTTGGAGGATGCTCTGCCATCTGGTAATTTTACATTGATTTCCTGTACTGTACAGTACGGAGTACAGTGTATACCTATTCTACGACTGCCGAGAATATAATCTGGCGCTATAACCTATTTACTCTACCAGTAATAACTGCGCAATAATGGGGTCCATAGAGAGACTTCTTTTATCGTCTCTTTCAACCCTTCAGCGAGGCTTGAACGAGTGAGGATGAAACGAAACAGATGTTGTGGTTGGCCAGCGCGGTGTATGAACGAACGTTGCTGCTCCACCAGCTCCTTCGCTGCTCCTTTCGCCCTCGTCTAGGTATGTAGGTGGTAAAGACTCGAGTACTCGTACGCTGCCCAGTCGAGCCAGTGCCCGCCCTTGGACAGGAATCCTTTGGACGTCGACGTCCTGGAGAAGCGCGATCGCGATGGTGCCCTCGCTCGTAGTGTGGTCCAAGGGTCGGTCGGTCTTGTTTCGTGGGTGCATAACCCCTGTCGTAGCGTGCCAGAGCGGCGCCGAGGATGCAACCACTCAGCGATCTCAGGCACCATTTCTTTTAGCTCAGGGAGTCAGGGGGCGCTCCGCCAGGTACGCGTTTCTAGTGGGTCGGCTTGCAATTAGCTGGCTCATCTCAATTTCCCCCCTGGGCACGCACGCACGCACGCACCCACACACCCACACACCCACACACCCCATTGCCCTCCCCTACTTCAACGTTCCTTCCCGCCTTCCTTCGTAGTTCTCTTTCTCTCCCTTTCCTCCTTCATCGTAATCCAAAAGGACCAGGTCGCCGTGCTCACTCTTTCAGTTCCCATTCACTCTTTCATCGCCCATTGAGCAATACACCGCTCCGACACTCCTTTATTCACGGCTCCGCTTCTTGACGATTCACACCCCTATTCTCGATACCAACAATAACCCAGCATTCCAACTCTTCAAACAAAACAAAGATATCGATAAGTTTGTACAACTCAACAACTTCAATAACAATACCATCACGAAAATGCGTTACTCAATAACATCTGGGATGGTACTGGCCGCCATGTCCATTGGCGAAGCCGTGGCTGGTCCAACTCACGCTCATTTCCATCGACGAGCCCATGAGCTCGAGAAGAAGACGTAAGAGTGCCCCTGCCAAGACACAAAATGAATCACTAACATGTCTCCCCTAGCGACTGGAACGATGCCGCAAACTACAAAGGTGTTGACTTCGCCGCAGCATACGCAGAAGGCGTAGCCTCCAAGGCTAGTAGTGCTGTTGCTGCCGTAGCCTCTACGGCCGCTGTGGTAGAGAAGGTTGCCAAAGTGACTGCTGCATCCGTCGCTTCTTCATCTGCTACTAAGAGCAGTGTCGCTTCCTCGGCAGCAGCCTCATCAAGCTCTTCCAGCTCCACTGGGTCGACTGGTGCCGCTGGAGGGTTCGTGGGCCTCTCCAACGGTCGCACATCTTTCGGGGTTGCCACTACACCCTTTGGTGGCTCGGACGAACTGGCCGTTGGAAACATTGGCTGGCCGCAGGGTTCCAACATCATCGCGGTCTCCAGCACCGACGGCTTCCCAATAACCAATAACTTTATCAATACCTCCGGCAAGTCAATGACCATCGCCTGCTGGAACAATGCCGGATATGAGGGAACAGACAACTCTACCCTCCTGTCGGATCCTAGTGGAAATGCGCTCAAGGGCACATCCCTCGCCCCCACGCAATCTGCTCTGACCTTCACCCTTGGAGCAGGTGAAAGTCAACTGGTGGCTTTCCAGGACAAGACAGACGGTGCTTGCGCAGAGGCTACCTCCACTGCTGGTATAAACATGGGCTTTGGTACATCCTGGATCGAATTGAAGCTGTACCTCTCTGGAGGTGGATATGATCTTTCATCGATCCAAAACCCCAGCGGCAACAAGTACCAGGCAACTATCACCAGCGATAACAGACCGGATTGCACGAGCGACCCGACCCAGAACATGTGGTTCAACGACAACGTCCTCACCGGCTGGTTGAAGGACATTACTGGGCTTGCTCAGGATGGTAGCTGCTACGTCACACCGACCACCAGCATACGCCTCACAACCAAGATGGGAGGAAGCATTTAAGAGGCCTGAATGGAATCTTCAAGTGCATATTTTCTTTCTTGGTATATAGGTGTAATCTTCAATGTCTTTCAAACAAGTTTCAGCAAGCTAGAGCGGCCTTGCCGTGGGAGTACCAGTGAGAGGAGGACGCGTTTGATTGAGAGTGACAAAAGGAAATCTCATGAGTAAGTGCTTTCAAGGCGTTGCTGGTTCTTCATTACTATTGCGAGGATGTTGGATACTTGGATCTACCGGTGAATACCACTTCTGAACGGATGCACGTACATAGAAAATGTCTTGTTCATAATCGATTTAATTCTCAACTTAAAATGCTTCTTATTCGTCGTGCTCCAAGCCTTGACATTGCATAGAGGCTCCTTGAGCAAGACAAGGTCTTGTGAACACTCGTTCACATATATGTAAGGAGACGCTGTAGTTGCTGTGTTCTTTCTATCTTATCTACCTTGAGATTTCGAGAATTCGCATGGTCGTCACCGCTTTCCTTCCTGCCCTTCATGACCGGCTTTGTTTGTTTGCACTTGCCCCGCCAGCCTGGTCCTGCTATTTGCCGCACATCAAGATATTCACTGGCAGAAAGTCAGATCGCTAGATCGATACTCGGCGTGGATATTTTCCGTGAGGCAGCGACGACTCTCATAATCAAAAAACAACAAACTTCTTTGCTGTCGCCGTCAAGTCAAGTCATCATCACACTCATTAAGATTCAACCCTTTGACTCCTGCATATTCATCCCTCCTCGAAAGCAATAAAGGGCCGACAACACTCCTTTGCGGCCCTTTCCTACATTCTTTCATACCTCGCAAACAGAAATACAAATCAATCAGACCAAATTCCCACGATACGACACGCATAACTTTCTACAAACCGATTTTTTTTTTTGCGCCGGCTTCCAATTATGAAAGTCAACCTCATTACTTCTGGCTCCGCCATCCTTATTGCACTTGCTGGAGTTAAGGGAGATAATTGGTACGGAAAACGCTTTGCTTGTCCGGCGTTACGCCTGGCTCAAGGTCCCAATGCTAGCAGAACAACATGTACAGAAGAACAAAAATACTGACTCTGCGATACGTAGTGACTCAGGAAGCACAGATATCAATGGAAATTGGTATTGTCAGCCAGTCCAGGCTATCCGATACAGCAATGTCGGCTCTTCGGGCTCGTATGATCGAATTACCCAAATGAATTCCGATGGCATTTGCGCCTCCCTACCGAACAACTTCGCCGGCAACCTTGCCCCCTTTGACGAAGAAGTACGTCCAGGTCCATATATAACCAACAAGTGGCTTCGTTTCTGAAGGCTGATGATTTTATCGCAGGTCTCCGTTCATTTCCGTGGCCCATTGCATCTAAAGCAGTTCGCGGCTTATGCTCCTCCGGAGTCTTCGAAGCAGAAGCGCCGCGCTCCTGGAATGCAAGGAAGAGGCCATTTCCACCGCCATCAGCATATGCACAACCTCCCAATTAGGAATGTGGAAGGACATAAGGAGAAGCGCAAGATGGTGAGTCCTTTCAAGATTGTTTCCTCGATAGTTCGGTTGAGTGGTGGTATTCTGTCAACCTGCCTGCTGTACTGTGGATTGTCCCGAGCAAAGTGTCGCTAACCCCTTCTCCCAAAGATATCGGCCACGATTGATGGGGAAAATCAAGATTGGGAGAACAATTGGTCCGGAAGCAGCGCCGGTATCGATCCATCCACCGTTTGGGTCACGGCCACCATTGACGGCCAAATTGTCTCGTGGCTCAATAATTGGTTTGGGTCATCCTCTGGTATCCCTGCTACAGCAAGTTCGACCCCTCCTGCAGAACCGCATACCAATCAAGTTACCAAACCTACCGTCACCATCCTCAGTTCCAGTAAGTTGCTCCCTGTATGTGCCAGCTAGTAGACAGTAGTTTTAACACCTCCTAGCTACCGCACCGACAAGCACTACGGCGCCGGTAGCTCAACACCAGCCCTCCCAAGATAGTTCCTCAGCCAAGCCCTCCGCTGGAAGTTCCGGATCCCATAGTCCTGGGGTTTTTGGACGCATCGGCTACTATGACTCTGCTTCCCAAACTGTCAATAACGTGGTCTTCCTAGGAAACCATGGTGGCCAAGGATCTGGCGTATTTGACGAGTAAGTAAAAGTATTACCGCATTGCTTCGAGCTTCATTAACGTTGTACCAGACACTTCGGTGCTTCCCTTGCCTACTCAAATTGTGATGCCACTGGTGGCGCAGCAAGCCCCCAGATTCTTGCTGATAAAGTTCTTCCATCCAACACTGAGGTTGTCATGATGCTTGATCGAGATTGCAGTGATGGCGGATGTGGTTTTGTCAGGCCAGGAACTGTTGCTCATCGTAAGTACCTTCCGGCTGTTCCCTTTCTTTTGACTGATGCGAACAGACGGTTTTGGTGGAGCAGACAAGGTCTTTTTGTTCGAGTTCTCAATGCCTATGGCTGATAGCAACGGTTTCGACGCGGATATGCCCGCTATTGTAAGCAAATCCCAAATCTATTCTTCCTTCATAGATTAGGCTCATGAAAAATGGGTCTCTCGTTGTTTCAAACCAAGTCCGCAAGCTGATTGGATTTAGTGGCTGCTCAATGCCCAGATCCCGCGCACACTTCAATACGGAAATGCTGACTGTTCGTGCTGGAAGTCTGGTTGCGGCGAACTCGACATTGCAGAGGCACTTGAGTCCGGCTCCATGTTTTTAAAGTCGACTATTCACGCAAACAGGGCGGCCGGCGACTCTGATTATTTCCCGCGCCCAAACACCGACACCATGAAACTCGCTGTTGTCTTCAATGCCGCCAACTCAACAGTTCATCTCCAGATCCTGCCCGATAGTACTGTGTTTCCGGAGTCGCTCACTGAAGATGAAATCCTTAGAATGTGCAACGCAACTCCCGGAAAGGCTGTTTCTCACTTCGCAGTCTCTTGATTTTGTTTTGATTAATAGTTGTCTTTCGATGATATAGCACTTCGTCGCGCTTTTGTCTTATCCTGGATAGGGGGAGTCCGGATTTGTTGACGCAAAATTGAAATTGGACGTGGGCGGTTCGATTTTCGTAGCATGGCTTGGGCAAAGAAGGCCGGTTCGAGCATCTGATGTATCGTAGAAAATGAAAGTACTTCCTAAATGCACATGCCTCCCAGTGCATTGATGATTCGGTACATGACCAAGTCGGTTGACTCACCATGTGCAAAATTGGTGCATTGACGTGATTGAAGCAGTCGTTTGAGGGCTATGACACCACCCTTCCTGACTCTTTCCAGAAACGTCCAGCCCGAACCTTGGCTCAAATCCACCTTGCTATTCCATACAAAGCACCCTTTTCCAGAGCCGTGACCTCTGTTTCGACTCCAAAGCCAGCGCGTCTAATCCTTCCCGACTCTTGCCTGCCAATGAACTCGCCGAATCGAACCTTCAGGTCTTTAAGCTCTTTTGGTACGCTTTCCTCGCCACCCAAACAGCCTCCGGCCGCAGCTCTATCCAGCACAGCACTCCCAGTGGAAGTTGTGATAGTCTGCATGAAGCCGCCATCTATGGCTGACACACCGTTCATAACCAGTGCAAGGGCACCCATGAGAATAAAGGGCACTGCGAGAGCTAAACTCAAGAAATATGGGATGAGAAGCATCAGGGGTCGAGAGAAGCTGTAGACGTTGATTGGGGTTGAGATAGTAGCATTCGCGGTTGTGGACCACATTCCGTACGCCACCATTATCGAAGTGGTCATGTTGAGCATGTAGTCATTTAAGACTTCTTGGGATACACTAAATTGGGGGGTGAGTACGCCAGAAGCAGAAAACGTTCCGAATATGGCGTTAAGCCGAGTACTATCAGCAATTGTGCCATTTGCTTTTATCGGTTAGTTGGCTGTCTGATGAATCGGAGTTCTTGAGATCGATTACCTCCAGCGGAGACTGACACGCCAGAATACTGGGTACTGACCACGTCTTGCCAGTGCGGAGCGGTGCTGATGTTTCCAACGTGGGGTAGCCCGTATCCTTGTAGAACTGCATCAAAGTGGCCGTCTAGCCAGGATGCCATGGAGCTGAAAATCGCCATCATATTATTATCACGGTAGTATGCCAGGGCAGCTGCTGACCAGTTTGCAGGCCTAGTACCGTACCCGGTACCATGATCGGCATTGAAACCAGGGACAATTACCACATTGTCATGTGTCCGGAGTGCTAAGTTTGTCAGTATATCGACAGGGACAGCTGAAACCACTTTTCTTGAGTGAACGTTGTTCTCGTATGTATTGTTAATTGTGTATCTTGCACGTCCAGGTGTACATGTAAGATTGTCTTGCCTAATCACCGCAGAATTAAGCTGTGGGCCCAAGATCGGATCTGTCGTATAGTTCACGGACATTATGGCGAGCGTTGAAGTGTTCAGAAGTGCCTGAGTATGCGTCCCGTTGTACCCGGGATGTGTGAGCGGCATGGAAGAGGAAGAGGGGGAATACCATTGACTGATAAAGATCTGAGAAGCAGCCGGTACGAGGTTACTGCTTATAGCATAAGTCGTCGATAAGTTGGAGCAGTTGAACCAAGGAGCTTCAAACACCGTCATGTAAGAGCAATTCAGGCCACAAGGCGATGTCATTGGAAGAGCTTCTCCTGAGATTAGGACCTGCCGAGCCAGCCGGTTGATCAGGTTGCCGTTTTTTCCTTCGTTAAATGCACTTTCAAACCAGCAGATTAGCAGATTGTACGACGCTTGCAGTAGGATAAGGATGCCAACCCGGTTATGAAGCCAGCATCAGTGTCTGTGTCAGGCGCTAGTGTGATAAGTGCATATGTTTCTGCATCAGTACCAGAGCCATTTCCCATCTGGAAAATTGAAAGAGTAAGCTTCCCCTCTGAAGTACTTCTTAAATGTCATTGGGATACTCACAAAGGAAGCATTGTAAGACGGTATATTCGTAATGTTGTACGAAATCTTTTGGCGTGTGACGACAGTAATGGCACCAGGTGGGAACCCAATCGCAACTTGCAAGGCCCACATGAGAAGTACAGACGAGCAGAGAAATGGGGTAGCGCGCAAAACAGCCCCCTTAAGGAGCAATAGAGGATTTGCTCTGACCAGAAAAAGATCCTCGATTGTTGAAACTTTCAGTGCCGAGACTCGAAATAGGCGCCAAAGATATTGAGCGAATGCAATAGCCAGAGCACTACGAAGAGCATATCCAAACGCATTCGCTAGGATATTAGATGCTGTTGAAACGTATGACTGAGACACGATTTGATGAGCTCCGTCTGCTTCCTTGCCGTCGATGTGCTGGAAAAATAGGAGGTGACCGACGGCGATGCCAACAGCTACGATGTGTTAACGCATAGCAGCTTCAATCATTTTCATCACGTACCCAGTACATATGATGCAAGCATCACAGCCGGTGTCTTCCACCCAATTCCCCATTTCGATGAGATGAAAGCAGGCTCTTTTGGTGATGGGCCAGAAATTACAGTGGGAGAGGTATTAAAAGTTGACTCGGTTGAAGAAGCCATGGGGTCCATAGTGGAAGCCGTTGAGCTTGGCATCCGATTTCTTGGGGGGATTCCGGACATGTTTTGGACCCTGCCAATGTATTCGACACCCAAGAATAGAAAGAATAGAAATAAAAACAATAAATAATAAATTCTTTTCGAGGCCAAACGTATGACACGATTTGACTGGCACAGAAAAGCCAGAGAAGAAGCGCCATTATAAAGAAAACTTACTTCGATAGCACAGCGCTTCAGGTTTTGGCCCACAGCAGATGGGAGACATAAGCGCCTATGTAGTATTTGGGCATGCAGGAACGTTTCAGAATAATGGGCTTCTCTTATTTGATGTTGGACTTTTCAGAGGACTCATTGGCTATGGAATCCAACAACCAACAGTAATGGGTCTCCTCACGATTCTTCCCGCAAAATTGTCTACTTCCGAGTCACACCCAAAATGTAGCCCCATTTTTCAAAGCACATAGCCACTTGACTTTGGTGCCTTTTGAATGCGACGGAACGGTACAACCAATGAACGTTCATGAAAGATCATCAGGATTGCTAGGATTTCTGATAGAGAAACGCGCCACCAACATCTCCAAAGAGGTACGCATAAAGCTGAATACTAAATAGATTCTGGAGATTTGATCAACTTTCGTCTGAACGAACTGATGTACTCACATTAAAAACGTGGTGGATCAACCCATCTCAGCCCATCTGGATAGCTGTGAATGAGAACGTGAGAGTATAATTGACAATGAATCTTCAATTACTTGGTAACGAAAGGTTGAAGGAGACAGCGAGTCTGCCTCCTTACTGTAGGAAGATTCTGTGAAAATATCTCCCCTGTAGCATATGCACAAGCCGTTGAAGTTCAACCTATAAGCGACCTCGTCTGCTGCGGCGCAGTTCTCTTAAACGGAATGGACCCCGCTCGTCCCGTTCAAAGCGCTAATCAGAGGCGGCGCTTAGGAAGATGGACGATGTGACTGTGATTCGAAAATAGACGCATCGCATACCTTTAAATATCTACAATAGTCAGTCCATCTGCCGACTCTTCTCCTGTTCTTTATGTAACGTGATTTGCACCGCTGAGCATTTTGAATCGGGGTTTGCTATGCGTCATGGACTAACAATAACAATACCGACCAGAACTAGAACGGAGGAGTTCAAGAGCTTTGGAAGCACTGGAACTAGAACTAAGAGAGGATTCGACTAGGAACACCCCGCTACAAGTTATTTTTCTGATCTTTCGTACACTGGACGAATAGTTCAAGCTGGTCTATTATTGACAATCAAAGCAATGATAAAAGGGAATGAAGAAGGAAGGGAAGGGAAGTAAAGCATAAGCACAAGCACTAGTGGAGTCCTTTAGCGCTTAATAAGCAGCCATCACCGCTAAATACCAGCGCATACTTCTCGGAGACATTTTAGCATTGCTTATAACTGACTGCTTCGCAGCTCCCGCACTCTCCATGGATGAAATCAGTCGCGGAATAAATATACCACTCTTAGTGCCTTCCCAGTCGCTTTCTCACTAACTATCGGCTAGCAAGCTTCCCTTCCCTGTAAAACTCCGCTCACTGGTCAAGTGATTGACTCCGAGGCTTTGCAATGGATTACAAAGTTTGTCATCTCAGGATTTTGAACTTCGGAGACTTTTCATTGTTGTGTTGTTCGATATCTTCCCTTTCTGAATAATCATTAGGCGTGAGATAGAGTTTTGGTCAGCAGGGCTTCAAGACCGGGCCTATCATCGTTCAACTAGTGGCTAGCCATAGACGTTTCTACGCCTGCGGCTGAAAGGCAAATGTGAAGAGGGGAAGTGTATAAGTATCCAGTGCTCCTCTATTGCCAATTCTCTTCATCCTCATCACTCCTGTCTTCAAAGCATTAAGCATTCTACACATCAAACCAAACCATAATCATCAGCACCATATTCCTGATTTAACTTCTCATTTTCCAACCTCAGACATATCTCAATATCAAGCTAAAGGGTTCACCTTTCTAAACTGCAATGGCATCCAAGAAGATTCTTGTTGTATTTGGAGCTACCGGAATTCAAGGTGGTTCCGTCGTGAAGGCCTTCCTCGGAGACTCGAAATTGAAAGAGGCCTGGACTGTGAGAGGTGTCACTCGTGATGTCTCAAAACCTTCTGCCAAAGCTTTGGAGGCACAGGGGGCTGAGACCATTGCTGTGAGTTTACACAGCTGACCTTCCGTCTTGCAAGGAGTGCAGTACTGATTAACGAGAATCAGGCCGATCTGAATAATGAAAGCTCGGTGAAAGCAGCCATCAAAGGTGCTTACGCTGTCTTCGCCGTCACCAATTTCTGGGAGAGTAGAAGCGCAGATGTTGAAATGAAGCAAGGCAAGGCTATGGCCGATGCCGCAAAGGTAGGATACATCGAAGAGTTCCGTCTATTTGAAAAGCGCTAATTTCCCACCAGGAAGCCAGAGTACAACACTTTGTCTGGAGTTCTCTCCTAAACATTACTGAGCGTATGTGGGTTGAAAATCTTAGCATGGCTTTCACTGACTCCCTGCAGTCACCAAGGGTGTTCTCTCCCATGTTACCCATTTTGATTCAAAGGCCGCGGTTGAAGCTTATATCCGCTCAATTGATCTCCCCGCATCCTTCTTCATGCCTGGATTCTATATGTCCAACATCCCTGGCGCATCGATGCGCCAATTGCCTCCAGATAACGGCTGGGCATTGAACCTCCCAATTCCTGGCAACACCCCAATCCCACTGTTTGCCACTGCTGATGATACCGGCAAATTCGTCAAAGGGATATTGCTTAACCGTGAGAAGGCCTTCGGCAAGAGGTTCTATGCTGCCACGGATTACGTTACCCCCGATGAAATCGTCCAGCAGTTCAAGGAGACTTTCCCAGAATCTGGAAAGACCGCAAAGTTCAACGAGCTCCCACATGCGGTTTTCAAGCGCATTATGGCCGAAGCAGGAGTTCCAGAGGCGAGTCAGGAGGAGTTGTTGCAAAACATGAGACTGATGAATGAGGTGAGTTCGAAGATATTGGCCTAAATATACTCCCGGAGTGGTTTCTCTTACTGACTGATTTGTAGTTTGGCTACTTTGGGAAGGCAGACTTGAAAGAGAGCCACGACATCCTTGTTGACAAACTCACCACTTGGAAAGAGTTTATGAAGGCAGCTAAGCCTTTTGCTGACCTGAAGTAGAGCGGTTGAGACGCAAAATTGAAGTGTTGTTCCTGCGGGGATTGAAAAATGAAATGGTCCAGTAAATATCAAATTTGAACAAACTGCACTTGCGTGAAAAATGACCATTTCTGTGACCTTCATCTGACAATAATGAAAATGAAACACATGCTCAGATAGGTTGGTAACGAATCGAATTAGAAGTTGCGTTTATCAATAGTAAAAGAATATAGGAATAATTCAACTTTGCCTAACCTACGGAGTAGTATTGCACCTATGTGCACGGGCACGGGCATGGAGTGCTGATGCCGAGTTAGGTATAACTTTCCCAAGGAAAGCCGAGGCACCGCTTGCACCTTGAATGGCTTTGCCTCTGGCTCCCAACCACCAGAAGAAATCCGGATCTAGAAGAAGCAAATAGTCTTTCACCAACAAGAATCCACACCAGATTTTCCACGAAGTCGAAAATAAACATTATTACAACAATCCGACACTTAATTTGGTTGTTGTCTTTCTGCCTTTGATCTTGATTTTCATTTCACGCCAACCCCGCAAAAAAGGTGGAGCTAGTCCAGTTTCGCCTCCTCCATTGACCTTCTATCTCTGTTGGCATTTATTCCTGCGACAACATTCTGCTAACGTCCACAACCCAGACGATAAGCTCTGAAAGAGCGAGCCGGCGGCCAAGAGGTAGAGACCTCACATAATCGATAAAATGGCGAGTGTATCGCCGCCAAAGCCGTGGGAAAGAGCTGGACCTGCGGGCGCAAGCACAGGTTTGTTTTCGCAACACTCTTATTTTGTAATGCAGCTCACTGACTCGAGATGCGACCTTTAGCATTATCCGCATCCGCATCAGCGGGAGCAGCGACAGGCAATTCGGCCTCGGCTCCTCCATCCGTCGCATCCTCATCTACATCTGCCCCAGCCATACCCGAACGGCCCTCCACCCTCCAGTCTGCTGTAAATAGAAATGCATCGGCATACTCGCCTTACGGCGCGAGTGGCGTTGGGGGTATGGGATCTCCATATGGCGGAATGGGTGGCGGAATGGGGTCAGCATACTCCTCGCCGTATTCGAGGATGGGAGGAATGGGTGGCATGGGAGGCATGGGATATGGTAGCAGCATGTATGGAGGTATGGGAGGCATGGGTGGAATGGGAGGATACGGTTCGATGTATGGGGGTGGTGGGATGGGGGGATACGGCGGGATGCCAGATCCAAACAATCCAAACAGCTTGACACAAGGCTTCACCCAGAGTACTCAAGCTACGTTCCAGATCATCGAGGGCATCGTAGGTGCCTTTGGAGGCTTTGCACAGATGCTCGAGAGTACATATATGGCTACACACTCCAGTTTCTTTGGTAAGTTCTAGTTGTTGAAACTACGATTTCGAAGACTAATAGTCATAGCAATGGTATCCGTTGCAGAGCAGTTTGGAAACCTCAAAAATACTCTAGGTTCGATATTAGGGATCTTTACGATTCTACGCTGGCTACGGACACTGTTTGCAAAGATTACTGGACGACCACCTCCAGCAGATGCTACATCTCTTACACCTAGCGCCTTTGCCTCATTTGAGGGCCGCAAATTCCTTCCAGATGGTAGCCCAGCTCAACAACCACGACCGAGCAAAAAGCCTTTCCTCTTCTTCATTGCAGCCGCTTTCGGTCTTCCATACTTGATGGGTAAACTTATCAAAGCCCTAGCGGCATCTCAAGAGGAAGAAGAGAGGCGCCGTCTAGCAGCTTCTGGCCAAATGGGACCAGATGGGCAACCTATGCCGCAATTTGATCCTGCGAACCTCGAATTCTGTCGTGTTCTGTACGACTTCACACCCGAGAGCGGAGCCGCAGTTCAAGGCGTTGACTTGGAGGTGAAGAAGGGCGATTTGGTTGCTGTGCTAAGCAAGAGCGATCCGATGGGGAATCCAAGCGAATGGTGGAGATGTAGAGCTAGAGACGGTAGGATGGGATACTTGCCCGGAGTTTATCTCGAGGATGCGAGAAGGCCGGGGCAAGCCGTTGCACAGATTAAGAGTGCGAGCCAGAGTGGGACCCGAACAAACAGCATGACTAGTCAGACTGCTAAAGGTCCGGCTGTCCCTGGAAAGGCGGGAGATATGAGCGTTGAGTCTTTCCAGAAGAGCCAATTTTATTCGTAGGACGATTTTTTCTGATTGCGTTTTGGGAGCGGTGTTTCGGAAAAGGTATTTACGGTTGGATAGGCCAAGGGGATGTACATACATACGCGCTTGTCTGTACAATGGTCTTAATGATAAGTTTTCATGACAGGGTGCAGTTCTACCGTGAAGTCTACAAAGTTTTCACCTCTTACTGAATGGTTATCGCTTGTTTGCCGTCGAGGTCAGTGCAATCGCTTTGAAGCGAACTCTGATATAAGCAGTGAGACGAGACTAGATGTATGGCTGGCGGGCTTTGGGACGTCTAGCTGCAAAATGACTTGTGGGCCATTTGATATATTTCAGGAGTCCCGTCAGCGTTTGACGGCTGGGGATGCTGTAAACATGAAGAGGTCAATACCCCTCCCTGGCTTGATGGCAAATGTAAGCATACTTGGAGACAAGAGTGAGGAAATACTCAATGAGCGAGGGGAAGAGTACACTGAGACAAAAGCCTAGATAGAACTCCTGAGAAAGTACCAAACGTCGGTGTCACAATCTGCTCCAATTCTGAATAAAATGCATTCCTCTAGGACCCACCAGGTAAATTCCCCTCGCTTCCCCTCTTCACCTCATCCCTCTCCTCAATCATCTCCGCCATCTTCTCCCCCTCCTCCGTCCCCAACGCCCTGAATCCTCCCACCGTCCCCTCACGATCCCCATCCCTCAACTCCTGACTCATCTTAAACTTCCCCTCCATCCTCAACACCTCAATCTCAACCCCAATAATCGCCTTCTTCAACAAGCTACTATAGCTCTCCGGCGCCTCTGAAACCTTCCACGGCGCTTTCTTGCCCTCTTCCCCGGTATACCCCATAATATCCTCCTCTCCAATCTTCGCCAGATCATCCAATTGCTTGTTCAGGAATTCTGACAGATCGTCGGAATCGGAAGAGTGGAATATGGTGGCCTTGCCGTAGACTTGCACGGCGGCGTAGTTCCATGTGGACACTACTTTTCCTGTCGAGGGCTTGGTCTCGGTGTAGAATTTCGGCGTTACGTACGAGTGCACGGGGTGGTTGAAGAGGACTAGTACTTCTTCTTCTAGCACCGTTCTCTTGATCTGTTCTGGACCTGAACCGGAAGTGAGAGATTCTATCATGGCTTTTGCTTGAGGATTTGCGCGCGCTACATGGCCGCGTAATGTTCCTATTGGTGTGGATTTGTCTGCAACTTGGGGGTTGGCATTGTCGGCTGGGGGTGGGGGTATGTCGAGCACCCAGGGGATGTGGGAGGATTGGATGAGAGGGTAGATGGGGGATTTTATAGCGGTGGTGAGGATTCCGAGGGGGTGGGTTTGGATGAATCTGTAGAGGGTGGGGAGGTGGAATTCCGCGTGGGCTGTTCTGAGATACATGATGAGTTCTTGAGCTTGAGGATATTCCTGTTGTGTGTAGGTTGCTAATTGACAGACTTTGATGGGCCAGATTCGATTTAAAGGTAAGGTAGGCGAGAAGAGTTGAGGCCAGGTTTCTTTGGATTGATTTAGAGGTATAGGGAGCTCCTGACTCAGAGCTCTTTATGAGAGTATTCTCATCTTTAAGCTTATATATAAATGTAAGCCCAACCCGGTTATCTATATCTCCCCGCATTTAGCGCTCCGCAAGTCATTTTCAGGCCGGGTAGGTTAACACGAGCCCCTGAAATGATTCGCTAAGCTCCTTAAGTGGACCCTGCCCTTCCCTGCCCTGCCCTGCCCTGTTGTATACAAGGCAGAAGTGATGTTATTACAAGGGCTACGTACTATAAATCTACAACTTCAAAGCCTTACTCGAGTAATGATATACAAAGAAGTACTGTGTAGGCAACCAAAAAGTGTACCTATATAATACGTGCGACTTTAGTTTCTTGTTAGTGCTACTCGTCTAAAACTGCAACATTTCTTAACCCTCCTTCAAGGCAAAACAAAACTTCTTCTCACTTCACTTCACTTATAGCACCCCCACTCTTCACTTCCACAGCATAGTAAACCACCCCCAACAATGGCAGATCTATCAAATACCCCCCTTTCAGACCCGAAACCGAACCCCATAACACTCCGCCTAGCAACAGCATCCGATATACCTCAAATAGGACAGCTATATAATACCGTTTTCGCGGTATGCTTGATCTTATTCCCCTTTTCAATCTCTCTTTCGCGTATATAACCAAGCTGTTTCTATTTCCTTTTTGTATATGATAAGCTCAAAACCATGATTTGAAAAAGAACCTACCTAAATCTTTGCAAGCACTTTGATTTTCATATATATATGTTTTATCTTTATTTTCTACTCTACTATATAACTGATATCAATTCGTTCAAAAGGCAACATTCGGCCACGCCATACCAGCCTCAGATCTCGCCGCCTCCCTAGCAACACATTACACGCCGAACCCGCCTTCAGGCAAGATATTCGACAGCGTTGCGAATGCAAACAATACTTTTCTTGTAGCTTGTGCCTCCATCTCCAATTCTGCCTCCAATTCTGCCTCAGAACAAGATCCAGAACAAGAAAGAGAACAAGAGCAAGGAAAAGAGCAAATAGTAGTAGGATTTGCGCAACTGAACGACAGCGCCACAGATCCATGTATACAGGATCCCTCGCATGCAATAAAGTTATCACGGCTATATGTCAGTGCGTCGTGGAGCGGGAAGGGCGTCGCAAGGTTGTTGATGAATGGCATTATGGGGATTGCGAGGGAGATGGGGATGAGGAGGATTTGGTTGAGCGTTGTAAGTGTACCACGCCCTACCTATCCTTGAATAATAAAAGGTACACTCAATATAATACGATACGATACGTGGAGGGGGTTTTGTACTGTATTGTATTGTATTGTATTGTATTGTATGGAACAAGGATTGGACTTTTTGTTGACATTGGCACTGACAGTGGGAACAAAATAAACATGCACAAGCTGTGTACGCCAAGATGGGGTTTGAGAGGGTTGGGGAGTGTCAGGTTGGACGAGGGTATCAGTGGACGGACTGGGTTATGTGTAGGGATCTATAAATACCGATACATAAGAATTGAAAGGGAGGGGAAGGGCAGCATGAGAATGAGATGGGGGGTTTCGTGGGATGGGTTCTAATGAAATGCAGGCCTAGGTAGATTTCATCCTCGCGTTTGGGCATGTGCTGTGCTGTGCTGCGTGTAGAATAGATTATAAGGTGAAAGAGATATTCAGTCGTTACATATTTTGAAAAATCTGCAAACTGCCTGGAACTTCGAATGGCGAGTGGGGCCAAGTGCGCGCTTTAAGCCACGAAATGGCTCGTACATTGCTATCGCTCTCTTTTAGGTTTCAAGTATCTTTTGTATACGGGGACCTCTTAGCAAATGAAGATGATGGAAAGGGGGAGGAGCGAGCTAGCTGACCCTGGGATTTCTAGCACAGACCGTAAAAGAAACTCTAGTATTTTACCTCAATGCTGAAGCATTCTGCAAATTAGGAATTGAAGTTTGCGAAAATGACTCGATTTTTAGCGCCATTTTTTAATGAGAACGCCCCTAACTTATCCGTGCTCCACCTTACGGCAATTGTGAGAAGTGTCATCTCTCCTTCAGCCCAATAAATCATCAAGCCCATTTCCAAGTGACTGCTGGCCTTGAGCGGGCTTCTGCTGCTGCTGCTGCTGCAATGTTGTAGAGCTTGTAGACGAACCTGCGCCCCAAATTCCAGCACTGGCTTTCTCCTTTGCCAGCTGACCGAGAGCAGGTCCTGCGGTGGGAGTGCTTGTCTTCTTCACTCCGACGCTTGCTGTTGACCACAGAGATCCAAAAGCATCACCACCACTGGAAGCAGGCTTTGCCGAAGCTGGCGCAGATTTGATAGATGGGATACTTGAAGCTTGCTTCGCTTGTGTAACAGGTGCTTGAACCGAGGTGAAATAGTTTGGCTGCGATCCTTGGTATGCAGTAATTTTGGGCTGCTGTGCAACTGCGGGTGGAGAGAAAGCAGAGTAGTTGGCTGGGGTAGCGTTGTTGCTGGGTGGGGGAGAGATCTGTGAGAAGCCAACTAGGTCTGTAAGATTGGCGGCTTTCGGGGCGGAGACTGGTTGAGGTGAAGCATATTGTGTGGTTGCTGTGGTAGTAGCAGTTGCTGGAGCGAATGCAGAGTAACTAGGAGCCGCTGTTTGAACTGAGGGGGTCGCAGACTGGAAATCGTCGAAATCGTCGTCATCCGCAAGGTTCGAAGTAGAAGCTGTAGGTGCTATAATCGGAGCGGATGTGGGAATTGGATCATCGAACGAGAAAAGATCGACTTCTGGTTCTTTCTTCTTAGGAGGCTCTGGCTTCCTCGCAGCTGGTTCGGTCTTTCGCCGAGAAGAATTCGAGGCATCGGCATGTCTCCGTGAAGGGGCAGCCACTGCTCCCTCGTCGTATTCATCGTATTCATCAAATCTGTCTCTGCGACCACCACCGCCACCTCCTCCGCTAGCGCCTGAGTCCTGGAAATCACTTTGTTGTCCTCCAAAACCGCCTCCATCACCATACACTCCACCACTATACCCCCCAAATGTTCCACCAGCCCCACCAGCTCCTGCTTCATCGCTACCAAACCCTCCATATCTGCTGCTGCTACCGCCACTCGAAAAACCACCTCCTAAGCCAGCTCCACCCTCTACACCAGTGTACTTGTTTCTCGTAGATCGGGACTTCTTTCTCTCAGACCGGATCCGTTCAACGTCACTGAGGAGTTCTGCCAATTCCTTGGCTCTGTTGCGGACATTCAACCCCTGATCTTTGCCATTTGCGTCGATGAAATGGAATTGGCGTAACATTTTTAGGAGCGTGAGGTGAGATCGTGCATCGTCGATGACTCTTTCTGAACCGTTCTTGATTAAGAACTCTAGGAGTTGAAGCGCCTTGTATATTTGTCTCCATTCCTCGGCGGCCTTCTCTGTGAATCGCTTATAGATCATTGGCATGATTTCATTAAGTAGCTGACTGATGAGATATGTTGGCAGTGGTCAATTGGTTCAATAGAGGCTGGCTTACTAGTTATATGTTCCACTGGCGATTTCTTGCATCTGTATTCAATTAGCACTGGATCCTGCCCTACAACAGATACCATTGATGAGAAGGGCATACCAAACTAGAACTTGCGCCCCAGGGTTCGTTATTCGTAGCTTCTCTGACTTTGGCCTCCATTTCGGTGTAGTTCATGACAGCTGGTACTGTGAGCATTGTGCCGGTTAGCGGAAGAGGTCATCTTACCATTCTGAACCTTTCGGACTCCTGCCTTCAGGTCATACAGAGACAGATTGGCCGCAGCCTCCTTGAGACTGTTGAGATCCATGGTTGAAGACCTGGGAGTTGGGATTCCGTGATACTGTGAGGACGAAGTTGTGTGTGCCGGACGTATTATTGTTGATGCGCCTGAACTTCGACATGCTTAATCGGGAGCCGAAAAGCCGCGTGGGGCGGTGTCTCTTGATGGGTCACGTGACATCTCAAGACCATCTAATGCGAGATAGTAGGAAAAGCAATGGATATAATAATAAGTTGCTTGAAGTACTTCAAGCGCCGTCTAGTTCTCTATAAATGATATGTTGCTTTATATAAGTATACCTTATTGGGTGGAGAAGTGTGACTTGACCTCACCTCTTGACAAGCTAACCCCTGCAAGTCGTTTACCCCTAAATGAAGAAAAAGCAGAGCATCAAGAAAGACTCGGAACATATCACTGATCTTGTACCAACACCAACAGCATTGCATCCACCAAAGAGCGTATTTACCTTCAACGACTGTATTCTAATTGTACTTTATTACCATCACATCCGGTCTCTTCAGTCCATCTGCTCGAGGTACGTCTAGCTGTTTGTTTATCCATGGTCAACTGTGCATAGGAGCTGGATGGAAATGGAGATGGAGATGGACACGACGGCTGGACATGGCCTTGCGTTCGCCCGAGTTTGAAGTGTCGGAGCCGGTTCTCGATGATGGGTTGCATGATGTGATACGGTGTGGATCAGGAGAAGGAGCCGTCTGCAGCTCAGCGGCTGTCCTTGATTGAGGGCAGATAGCTGTTGGTGCTGACGCTGATGCTCGGGCTGACAATAGAGCTCACTGCCCTCTCTAGCAGCTTCAGCTTGAAATCACTCAATGCTTCGATGATCCTAATCGTGAGAGGCAGAGGCATTGCATTGCATTGCTCTCAAAACCCAAGCACGCAAGTAGCCGTCTGTCTATCTATCCATCTCCATCCATCCACCCATCCACCCATCTATCCAGTCCAGTGCAGAGTCAGTCACCTGCTTCTGATGCGTCTCGGAATTCCTGGCACAGCCCAGTCCAGTCCCTCGAATCCAATCCCAATCCGAGGCACAATTGCCAGACAGACCCCTCCCTCCCTTTCTTCCCTTTCTTTTGCTCCCAAACTCGCCCTCCTGCCCTCCTTCGCCCCTTCGTTGATGCGTTGACTGGTTGACCTGGCCGGCACTAACCGCTTATGTCATTAGCGTCTCTTACCTTCCAGGTTCCTACTTCTCAATGTTTTCTCGAGCTCTACCCCGCTACAACCCCACCTCTTCCAAACTTCTTGCAAAATCCTTCCTCCAACACAACACACGAAACTTCCACGCATCAACCGCAAACATGACCATCCAAACGTAAGCAGACTACTCATCTGTCTACTCTGTCTGTCTCGCCTCGGATACTAACTCCAACAGCTTCTTCGATGTTACCTGGGAGGGCCCAGTTCTTGACAGCAACGGACGTCCCACCACACAGGTCAAAGGTGAGTACCATCTGCTCGTCATCTCCTTGTCTTCAATGATTGAGCATCATACATCCGTCATTATCATCAAAATGATTCGCTTCGCCATTGTAATGACTGTCGACGAAACTCTCCAGCTTCATCTCGATGGCTGGAGTCTTGTTGTTGATGGCGCCACCGAGTCTACCCCTCATCGCTCCTGCTGCCAGAAGCTGACATCGTCTCTTAACAGAACAAAATGGCCGTATCAACTTCAACCTCTACGATGATGTAGTCCCAAAGACCGCTGAGAACTTCCGTGCTCTCTGCACTGGCGAGAAGGGTTTCGGCTACGCCAACTCCTCATTCCACCGCATCATTCCTCAGTTCATGCTCCAGGGTGGTGACTTCACCCGTGGCAACGTACGTCTCGAAGGTCCACAATGTCGAGATTTAAGCTTACAATGATACAGGGCACCGGTGGCAAGTCCATCTACGGTGAGAAGTTCGCCGATGAGAACTTCAAGAAGCTCCACACCAAGCCTGGTCTTCTCTCCATGGCCAACGCTGGTCCCAACACGTAAGTGACTTGGACCAACCCTCTCCCGAACAATGCTGACAATCCCTGATAGCAACGGCTCCCAATTCTTCGTCACCACCGTTGTCACCAGCTGGCTCGATGGCAAGCACGTCGTCTTCGGCGAGGTTGCTGACGAGGCTTCATTGAACGTTGTCAAGGCCCTTGAGGCAACCGGCAGCGGCAGTGGCAAGGTCCAGTACAATAAGAAGCCCACCATTGTCGGGTCTGGTCAGTTGTAAATTAGTAGTGGAGGAAGCTGAATATCTTTCCTGAGCATGTTAATGATGGATCTCCGAACTCTGGATGGATTCGGCAGTTGTGAGCGAGGGGATGATGAAAAGTTCATGATTCGTAGGAAATGACACTGATTGCCCCCACACCATGCTTTATGATGCCCTATGAATCTGTGATTTTCTATTGCTACAATGTATACAAATGCGATTTGCATATCGCCATCCGTGGTATCTTCCCAAACTCCAGAACCTATCTATCCACGCTATGCATCAAAATCAAAGCTATTAAAGACATCCTCATAACTCTAGCCAGTCATTGTAATATATACAACTGCTAGGAGCCACAGGTCCTCCCTCCTCACACAAATCGAAAACAGGGCACCGACCACAAGGCATCTCTGTAAGCACACTCCCACCCTCTTCATCATCCAACAAAGACTTCCTCAACGCTCTATATGAAAATCCCTCTTTCCCCCCCTCCACCCTCTCAATAAGATCATCAAAGCACAGCACATCCAGCAATTGCTGAATCTCGGCCGCCGTCAAAGTAGTATTCGTCACGCTACGATCCTCAATCATAGCCGTCATCTCGTGCACACCCGGATAGCCAGCATAACCATGCGGCATCGGTACCATACTCTCATAATTTCTAATCCGTGCCGCCCTCGCACTATCAACTGGCTGCGCTTGCCTTCGCGGCCCCAAACCATTATTCCTCGCCCTCTTTGCTTCTTCAGCACTCATCTTAATAGTCTTGTTTGCATTCTTCAACAGCGTGCTCGAGCGGTAGAAACTCTTCTCACTGATATATTTCACCAGATACCTCTTCATCATATCGACAAATTCCTCGTCCAGCTCTCCGTCCGTGTAAAACGGACCGCCTGTCGCGCGCTCGCTGGGCCGGATCGTGGACTTGATATACATCTTGCGGGTGGGGTGCTCGACGGATTTGATGGTTGTTACAAGGGATTTGCTCTCGAGTTGTTTCAGGGCTACGTTTACGACCGAGTCGTGCAATTTGGAGCGCATCTTCACGGTGCGGATCCAGATGCCTTCGGCGCCAGATTCGTCGATGTGGGAGTAGACCATTTCTTGCTCGGGGGTCAGGGTGCTGTATCTATAGTTGGGAGAAGGTTGTTAATATGCATTCTTGAACGGGATAATGGTATAGAGAAGGAACGCACCTCTTTGCCTCCTCCCTAGTCCGCGTCTTCCAGCCCATTCCATCTGCATCCTGAACAACCTTGTATAGCTTCGCTTTGAGGAGCTCGTTGATGATGGCGAGGAGTGTGTTGACGTCTACCCCTCTCATGAACTCCATGTCGAGGATGTCATTTTGGTGGAAGACGACCTTAGTGTCTTCTTCGGTGAGACGGACGCTCTCATCGTAGACTTTTTCTTTCAAGTCTGCAATGTCGTGGCCTGGAGCGGCGGCTGGCGCTGCTGGTGGTGTAGCTGCGGCGGCTGGTGCAGAGGCACTGGTAGACGCCATTGTCGACAGGATTGTGTGGCAGATGTCGAGACTTGTGGGCTACCGGGGTGGGATTGACATGGGGATATGATGAGGCTGTACCAAGCAAAGATGGTCTGGAAATCAGATGAATTGGTTCTGTTCCGTTCCTCACTGTGACTCGATAGAAATTTTGTGGAGAGGGAGGGGACGAGGCTACCAAAAATTATTCATACTGCGCGACCAATCAGAATGAATCTCAAAACAATCAATCACCTTGTGTCTTGCCATCCCATCATCTTCTTCTTTCTTCATCAACCAACTCCAACTCATGTTTCAGCATTTGCTGTCTCATATGTTCCAACAACGTATTCATGTCAAGCAATGCCACAATGTCCCACTCAGACGAACAATCCAAGGTTCTACGAACAATGAAAAGATTCAAGTCGAGACTTGTGAGGTAGTATCACAATCTTGCATGCATGTTGAATTGAGGTCTACGGTTTCTCAATGCCTTCAAGGGTCTGTACGAGCCTCAAACCATCTCAATTGGACCAGCCCCAACTTTTTAACGCGCTGGTAGCCTCAATGTTTCCGAATGCTTGCGCAGACTTGACCCGCCATCGCGCCTATCCTCACGGGGACGCTCCGCAAAGACAAGGCGAGAATAGCTTCCCGAGATTAATGATGAAGGCCAGTGTCTTGGTCGTCTATCGGTTACGCGGTTTCCTTTAACGCGCTAGAACTGCGATTTATTGGGTTTGAAAGTCCTGGAGCTTCGTAAGGGTCGGTTGTGAAGCGCCCGCCGACAGTGAGACCACAAGCTGTGAGCGAGTCTCATTGGACAACACAGCGCCTGTCACAACACTCCATTGTATCAACAATTATAGAGTCATGGCGTTCTGGACTCTTTGTTCCAACACAGGGTTCAATGATCTAGACTCCGTAGTAAGTGAATGCATATTTAAGTATGTTGAGTCCGCTGTGTTTGCTTCTCTCTTCATCTCATTCATCTCGTTGTTTTCTCTCCACTACAAAAGCTGCTCTTCTCTATCTTCGGTCTTGGAAATTTGGACAGTCTCTTCAGACATTCTGTACTTTGTTCACTCCTTCGCTGCTAGCTCAGCAAGTCCATTCGATATATCATCTATCGACTTCTTTCGCCACCACGGCCATCTTTCCAACAGGAATTTTATAAATTTCTCAAATTTCAGTCACTTAGTACCACCCAGCCATATCCTCTCAGTAGTACCAGATACCTGAGTTCGCTCGATCAAAAACCTCCAGTATATTCAAGATACCCAGTTCAACAGTCCTTCAGAATCTTAAGGCCACTCTTTACTTTAAATCATCATCATCATGCCTGTACCACAATACGGAGCGCTCGGCCATCTCTTCACGGCCGCTCGTGCCGTGCAGATGGTCTGCCTCATCGCCATCATTGGAATGGCCAGTAATTTCATCGCCGAAATTGTAGCTGTCCAGCAAGCACCGCACTCTGTCCTCATCGGAACCCTCACAGTCGTAAGCCTCCCTTACTCACCTCAATATCTATCACCTTGCTAACAAAAGCCCCCACAGACCTGCATCGCAGCCCTTTACATAATCATAAACTACATCCTCTACTTCGATAATCAACTTTCCTTCCTTCTCTCCACGGGCGTCGACTCCCTCCTCATGATCGCTCTCATCGTCATCGCGGTCAAGACCGGCATGCCTATTTCCTACCTCCACTGCAACCAACTCTCATCCACCGGGTCCACCTCCGATTTCGTAGAATCTGTCAAGGACAATATGAAGGCTACCAATTACTGGGTCTGGATTGGCGCTTCCAAGGCGAGCTGCTACGAGATGAAGTCTATCTGGGGCCTCTCTATCGGGCTCTGTATCCTGTTCTTCGTGACAGCCGTTGCGTCTGTCTGCATGTGGAGACGTCAAAAGACAGGCGGTGCACCAGCAGCGCCGTATAAGGATATTGAGGGCTAGTTCTAGAGGCCGGGTGGTGATGAAGATCAAAAGGTGGATGTGTTTATTGGAAGAGGATATGGAATGAAAACATGAGAGAAGGGGCCTCGATGGCATTGTCACTCGTTTTGGGAATCTGGGCTTGGGTAATGATTTGGCTTTGGTGTTTGTCTTTGACACATGTCCCGTAATGAATCGAATAAAATCGCGTTACTCTTTCTTATACCTGACTCTGTTCATGAATGAATAATAAATGTGAAGCTGGCAACTTAAGCAATACATTCACGTATGGTAGTCTCGACTCTGGTCTACCCATTTGTTTTGAAATCCAAAAGAGGAGACAAAGGTTCGTAATCATACCTGATCCCAACATCACATACACATACTTCACATATATATTCAACCCCCTCCCCCCCAAAAATCAACAAATTTTTTAAGGTCGGCCATTGGCTCGTAGCTGACCTCAGGAGAGACCAACCCCTAGCATCCAAGCATTAAGGGCAAGTTTCTTTTATTTTTCATAATTCAAACTCGCTGATACATACCACAATTTGTCCGGAACCACGTGGCCAAGTGGGCTGGGCGCCTTTTGTGTTTCAGCGATAGATAAATTGGTGTGCTATTTTGGTTTATAAGGTGTGAGTGGTTGGGAAGGGGGGTTGTATGTTTCTAAGCCAAAGAAAGATTTAGCGATTTTCTGTAGTGGAAGTGGAGGGAGGCAATGGTGGGAAGTTATAGATGATGTGCCAGGTTGGCCGCTTTGATACTATATGATACAGTACCCAAGTACCCTTCTATGTATAGACGTGACTAGGTGATATTGCTGCAACATATCTACAGGTAATATTTCTAAATTAGGCTTGGCTTAGTCGTCTCAGCGAAATTTCAGCTCGTAGTAAAATAACTTCATAAGAGAACTTCAACCTTTTGATTCCATGGCAATGCATTAACGGAAAACGCTAAAAACTAATCAAGACCTAAAGTACATCAAGAAGCAAGGACTATTGCTTCCAGCTCATTGCTAAGCCTTTTCATTCTGCTCGTCTCATTTCATGTCCTTGCGCAGTTCCTCGATCATATGTGCTATTGCCTAGGCCCCCGGCGGGATTATTCATTTGTTCGTCGTAGTGAGCAAATGATTCGGCCCACGGGTCTTTACCCAAAAACCAAAAGATGTCTTATTTATCTTCCAACTCGAATAACACCCGCCGCTACCAGCTTCTGGATCTTGGCTTTGATACCGGGGTTCCTCATATGCTCTTGCAGGGCAGCGGGGTCGCCTTGCGCTTGCTGCAGAATGCTTTGCATGATTGGGTCTTGCATGATGCCCAATATCTGCCCACAATTAGCTGGGATTCGTCAATTAATGAAAGAAATGGGTTTGACTTACCTCAGGGTCCCGCTGGATTCGCTCCTTCGTTTCCTCCTCGGTCTCATTCTCCCTGGAAGAATACATAGCAGACAGCGCCTTCTGCTGTTGCTGCTCAATCTCTCTACCGTTCGCCTTCGTCTCATCTACCTCGGAGGCTTCCGTGCAGGCATCCAGACACTTGGAGTAATCCCTCATGCCGAAATAGGCTTGCGCTTTCCGGAGATAGGCGCGGATGAACTTGGGATCCTTCTTGATAGCTCGGTCACAGTCTTCAATCGCACTGGGGAACTCGAGGAGCTTGATGAACGCAGCAGCGCGGTTGCTATAGCCTCTTGGGTCATCGGGTGCTCGCTTCACCATCTCGCTGTAGGCCTCTACCGCAGCAGGCCAGTCTGCCTCCTTGAACTTCTTGTTTCCGAGCTCGCGGGCCTCCTCTGCCTTCTCTGGGTCGATATATGCGTTTCTCGCAGTCTCAATCTTGGTCTTCTCGACGGCGCGGAGTTTGTTGACAACCTCAGGAGTTCGGTGCTCGGTGAGTGACTTTTGATAGTTTTCAATGGCCTTGTTGAAGTCGCCCATCTTTTCGTACGATGAACCGATGCGCGCGTAAGACTTAGCGATCATCTTGAAATCGGCATAAATCTCGCGACCCTCTTCGACGGCTGTCTCGCATGCCTTGATAGCTGCCTCGTAGTCTCCCTTTTCGAAGTTCGCAGCGCCAAGGTTGTTGAGGTAGGTAATGTCCTTGTACAGTTCCCAGGCCTTGGTATAGTGTGCGATAGCTTCATCAAAATTCCTCTTCTTGTACTGCTCAGTTCCAAGCTTCTTCTCTGCGTCGGCTGCAGCCTTTGATTTGGCTTTCTCCTGTGCCTCCGTGTCTTCTGGCTCTGGTTCTGGCTCGGGCTCCTTAGTCTTTGGTGGTTGGGTTGAGGCCGGCCGAGCATCTGGCATGGGGACATCCTCCTCAGCTTCTGTGGGTGCTGAGCCATCTCCACCCGGAGGCCCACCGGGCATTCCACCTCCCATCATATCCATATCCACGCCCATGAGAACACCTAAGACTTGTATCATTCGAGGATCCTGGAACATTGACTGTGTATCATTGGGATTTTGCTTCAGCTGCTGAAGCTTCATCATGAACGACGGATCTGCGAGGAATTTGCTGGTCTTAGGATTGGCAGCGAGCTTCTGGTAGAGCTGTGGGTCGGTAAACATATTACCAAGTCCACCACCAAGAGGATCGCCTGTAACACCATCTAAATTCCCTGTGAGCAAGGAGAGTGGTGTGGAGAAAGCTTAAACATACCTTCTTTGGCTTCCGCATCAATGGCACGCTTGACAGAGGCAAGGCCTGACTTGTTTTGTGCATTGTTAGGGTCGAGCTTCAGACCCTCTTCGTACGCATCGTGAGCCGCCACTAGATCTCCGAGTCCATGTTGTGCAGCACCTTTACGTCCCCAGCCCTTGGCCCAGTCTGGCTTTATTTCCGTGACTTTGTTAGCATCGTTCAAAGCATTCTGGTAGTCCTTCTTAGAGGCGAAGGCAGCCGACCGATTGGAGTAGAGGATGTGGTTCGTAGGCTCGATTTCAATGGCTTCAGTGAACTTTTCACTGTAGTAGAATTAGCAAAGGTAAACAGCAATGTAAACCCCGAAAGCTTCGAGCCGCACTGAAAGAAAGTCTCGCATGAGAGTAAACAGAGGGGCATCAACTTACATAGCCTCGTCGAAGTTCTTCTCCGCGATGGCCTTGTTGCCAAGAGCTTTTAGTTCGTCCGCCATGGTTGAATATGAATTTCAAAAGCTTGCAGGGTGAATTTGGGTATCGTATGTCAGAAATCGAAGGTTTTGCACGAAAGTCGAATTCAAATAGATTCTCCAGCTTGTAAGTATTTCTAGAGCTTTCCACCCTAATTCTGCCAAACTTCATGTTCACCGCCTAAATCACGTGAGGGTTTCCCTCTTCTCGGGTGCTTGGGCCCAAGTCGTATGTTCGGAAGCGTCCTCGATCCAATGCATCTTTGTAGCGATGTATACAACGTCTTGAGAACACAAACAAGTGTTTCTTCATACCCTCTGCTATTTCGAGCGAAGTTGAGTACTACCTAGAGCAGATTTTCATTAGCAAACTTACACGCAATATCCATCTCTATCTCTAGCAGTGTTGATGTATTTGAAGTGAGGCAGAGCAAAGCGGACGCCTTTGATAACTAAGATCATCTACTAGCAAGTGTTATATGCGATCAAATGCCGCATTGTTCCTACAGGATGGCGGATTGGGGTTTCATAGATCATGGATCCTATTATAAACACTCCACCGACGGCTGGTGACTGGCTCAATTTTGCGCAATTTGCCACGGTGTTGTTCTTGAATCTTACCCTGTAAACTTCATGTGGTAGTGTCTCAACCAAAAGGCAATACTGATCAGAGTGAAGGTTTCTGATGTGTCTTTATTACTCTCCAGAGCGTCGAGGTCAAAAGTCCGCTGTAGTCGCCATCTATACCGCATTTTTGGCCATCTCAATCGTCCCAGTGATCTTTGAGTCCACCCTCCCGCCACCAGGTGAAATTCCTGGACAAGAATGGTTTGCAGCCCTCTTCTTTGGGGTGCACTCTCTCTTCATCAACCCCATTATCACTGCACTTGGTATTGCCGCACTATTTCCACAGGCACGAGAAACTCTTTCGGGGCTAGATAATGGAGCGTTAAGCACGACCTGGCTAGCCGTTCAGGCCGTCGTGTTTGCAATGGTGGCAGCGTATTGGCCAGTCACGATGAGGGTAACCGACCACTATTGGGACCGAGATATACCATTCTCTGGCTGGTATTCGTTGGTGGGTTGGGCGACTGTCGATAATGCTATATATGCACTTGTCCAAGCAATTCTATTTTGGATTGGCATGCGCCAGAGAGGTGAAGGGGGGGATGAGGCGGCAATGCATAGCGAGACTTCGCCGTTGTTGCAAGGCTAAGGGCTAGAAGGGTTTAAAGCGTACTGGGAGTCTCATAATCACAAACGGAGCTTTGTCCCTGAAGTATTGGATATTGGGAAATTGGACAAGGTCTGGGTTTCTCGCCGCGTGGGGGGTATGGATGGTCTACTATTTGTCTACTATTTGGATGGATGTGGAGGACGACAAATTCTTAATCCGAATCAAAGCCTTGAAACTCGGGACCCTTTTTTGATATGTAATAGCTAGTCTTGGTACAATTTTCAGATAGATCAGTCGGGAAGTTTGATCCTGTCTCACTCTGAACCTCTCTCTCCCCACAATTTTTTGTTTTATCCCCCTATTTTTCGCTTATTCGGAAAATTAATACGGAATTTTCACCTTCATTTGTAATTGAAGAAGAAAGAGAGCTGCATTATAGATCGACTAGATAAGCAAATTAGGTATATATCTTACCTACCTAGGTATATGACTTTTCGTTACGCTAGTGCTTTCCATACCTCAGTTTCTCGTGACCGGCCTTTAAAGGGGCCGGTGCTTACTCACTAGGCTTCTCGGATAGACAACACCAACACTAACACCAGATCTCATGAGACTGAGCAACTACGATTCCAGGCTACAGCAACGGTTTTCCAGTCTATTTTCGCTGGATGATAAGGAGTATTGGGGTATCAAACTTATTCTCCATGTAATCCTAATTCGCACGACCCGATCTCGACTTGGGCATTGGCACTGTTTTGCTTTCCTGCTGTGGATCCTTTTGATAATCGTTGCGAGCAGGCAGCGACACCTGTTTGTAGCTTCGGAAGACTCCTTTGCTTTGCCGAAATTAAATGATACCAGACAGAGCTATTTGAGAATGCTATCATTTCTGGCCAATGGGCTTTCAGATGGAATAGTTGCGGTGTTAGACCGTCCTCGGCGAGTATGGCTAAAGGGTGCCACCAAGGGTAAGCAAAGTCCTCCAGAGGTGTCCCCCACACTCAGTAACACCGGTGTGGCATGGAAACTCACCTAGTCTCAGCTTCCGTCTTGGACGCCCTGAAAGTTGAACTCTTTGAAGGCATCAGCGAGTTCGGGCCAGTGCTACGAAATACAGGGCCGAAACTCGTGAATGTATTTGATAGATATGGTGTCCTCAATCCGACCAATAATAGACGATGTGATTACAACTCCTCCTTGACCGTGTACCATGACTGACACTTGATCAGACTGGCATCAGGATGATCTAGCATCTTTTTTGCGGGATCACTTCCACCAGTCAACGATATTGGCAACACTTAACGAAAATATCTTAGTCCTATGGCGATGCTTCCATTTTCACGCCTACTTTCCTTTTCCAGAGCAGCGTCCTGACCAAATCGAATGTATTGCCTTTCAGCGCGCAGTAGCGCTTTTGGCAACTGATGGTGCCTTACGTCTAGGATGTACCGAGCTTGGGGACTCTGGAATTCAAAGCGATCCAGACCGCGATCTGTCATCGTCTCATATATGGAGAATATTTCGAAGCCTAGCTATTCATACTGCCACCACATCCTCAGCGGAGGAGCCAAATAATGGGCAAGCCGAGCAACAGTCTCAAATAGATGACCTGCTTGACGTCCTACACCTTGTCCACCCCCCAGGAGCTATTTACGGATATACATATCGGGACGAACTTCGTCCCCACGCGAGCAGGATACTAGACCATACCGTATCACAGCATAGTACAAATATATCTGTACTTAATGGCCATACGATACCGCGCGGGGAGTTCCTGAGCCTACTCACGCTGCTGCTAAGTATACAACCCAACGAAGGAATGCTAGGTGCCTCTTTCATGATCACTACTGCGCGTTTCCCGTATCATGCAGATGAGAAGTTGCCCGAGATAATGGCCAAGGCAATCCTACAGCGATTTGCCCCGGATGAAAAGACCGACATCGAATGGCCTATCTTCAAGAATATTTTGAGTAATTACCTTGTGGGTCTCGTCCACTCCGCTAGGCAATGTAAACATTGACATCCTTCCAAGATTAACCTCCCATCTCAAATGCGTCTTATTTTCAGCTCTTTCATCTCCAATACCATCTCAGAGAGTAAAGGCAAGTTGAACGTCCAATGGCTCTTCATTCAAATGTTATATCCTCCTACAACCCCTGAAGCATTCAAAATCGAGGCGAGCTAATTTACCAAACCCCTAGCCCCCCGCAGACCAACCTCATACCACCCATCTCTTGTCATCCCCCGTACATCCAATACCCTAGGTCTCCTCAACCCACCCTACCCCCCATCAACGATCAACATATTCCCAAAAACTCCAATACACCCTCCAAAACCCCTCCTTCAAAGCATCCTACGCAGAAACATCTACCTTCTCCGCCACAACCTTCGCCACTGCGCTCTCAACCATCACAAAAACATCCCTCCTCTTCCTCACCGGCTCCCTAGACCCCCCACGAATAATTTCACCTGCTTCTGGATCTACATCTACTTCTACCTCTACCGCCACAACCGCAACCTTCGCAATTCCCATGCCCTTCCCCTGGCCACCCAAATCCAACAATGAACCCGATTCCGAACACAAAACAACCCCCCAAATCGGCGCCTCCCACGCCCTATTCCAACTCGAGCCAAACCTCCAAATCCTGCGTCCTAAACGTAGATGGTCTCTCACCTCAGACATGATCATGCTTTCCTCCAGCACCTTGCAATTCGGTTTAAGCTCCGATGATAAAGGCCTTGTTATCGAGTTCGAGACTGGGATTGCTGTTTTACGCAGTTTACAGAGTGAAAATGGAAGTGAAATTGGTAGTGGAAGTGGGAGTGGAAGTGGAGATGGATATCGTGATGTAGGGGAGGTGGAGATGGGATTGGGAGGAGAGGGAGCAGGGACGTGGGAGACGAGGATGCGGATACGCGCAATGGAAATTTATGAATTGCAGGGCGCGGCGCCGGGAATGGCTGAGGAACTAGGAGGGAAGGGGCAAGAACATTTAAGAGTGCTAGCAGTAGATGCGATGATCGCGGATGCGAAGAGGGCGGAGGCGGAGAGGGTGGAGAGGGAAAAGGGGCCGAAGGTGGTCGGGGAGGAGTTGAAGAGGAGGATTGTGGGGATTGGTCCTAGATTGGAACATCGAGGGCAGAACGAGAAGCGTGAAGATGAGTTTGAATCGGAATCGGAATCGGAATCGGAATTCGAGAAATAGAAGAAGTTTGAACTCGACAAGAATATGTGAAAATCGTTCATTCCACATCCCGCATCATCTAGCCAGACCTCCCTATATATAGTGCCTCATAGCACGCGAAAACTAATTACACAAGCCTAGTTCCCATACGAGAAAAGGCAGTACAGTACAAGCATAGAAAAAGCAAGAAAGGCGGCTTCAATTATACAAATGCCATGTTATGCCATCCATTCCACTCTTCTTTGTAAATAAACGCCAGCCATCCATTTACCTCATGCTCGTGTCAATATAGAAAATATGATGCGTGTATAGCATGTCTTGCTTATACTCCATTTACGTATCATTAAAAAAACCACCAAGACGCTATGCAAAACAAAGGAACATGTTGCCCTAAAGGGGGTCAATGATGCTTGTGTCATGAAAAATCGTCGTCGCCGCGCCCACCACCATCTATAGTATCCACCTTCAGTACCAACTCCTTCGTCTCCCTTGCGATCTCAAATGCGATCGGTGGTAGAGATTGGTTCCATGCTCTCCAAGCCTGGTCTCCTTCCTCGTCATCTCGGCCCTCGTCTGCGATGTCGCGGCCTAGTTCGCCCGCGTCCAGTATGCGTTGTCTGCAGTTTGACAACTTTCTCAAGATAGGTTCGCCTTGTGATCTTAACAAGGCGTTGCCTGTGGAGGACATGGCCGTCTCAGTTGAGGAGACTACTTTGCCAACGTTGTCTGCAATGGCCGCGATTTGAGTTGCGATGTCTCCGATTCCTGCTTCTGAGCGGATCGAGGAAACAAGAGATTGGATGTTCTGAACGAGCATGGCAGTTTGATCCTCAAGGTAAACCTGTTTTTATTAGTTTCAAATCGCATATATAGTGGGTGGTATAGTTCACCTTTAGTTCTTCGACATCATTATCATTGGTTCTGATGCCGAAACCGAGACCCATAGGCGCAGGTGGAAGATTTTTATTGCTTGCACCGTTCATATAGCCATTTTGGGGACCTCTAGAACTTCTGGGACGCACACTGGCTGATTCTCGTGGGGAATTCAAAGGGCTGTACATTGACGAGTCGCCGCTCGCACGCCCGGCGCGAAGACCTTGGAACGCTGGAAGACTGTTCTCCTGCCTTGGGTCACGGACTGGGAAGAAACCCGTGGAGTCTACTGGTGCTAAATTTCCATCATCGTCATCTTCGAGTTCGCCGGCGGGGGTGGGTCGAATCTTGACAGTTCGAACAAGCTCAACGACTGCTGCTGTAAGGTGGGAGGCTGCTGCGTCAAGTATTGATACAGGAGAAAGTCCATTTGCAGATGCAAAATTCTTCGCAGCTGTGATCAAATTATTGGCCGTTGCTGACACCCTTGACTTCAGTTTTCCCTGTTGTGGAGATAAATTGCCGCTGCTAGATGTTGCTTCATCAATATCTTGTGTAATCCTCCGAACATTGACAACCACGATTTTCACAAACTCAATAACTCTTGACGGGTCATCGGTTCGGGCTACCTGTAGAATCTCATCGATAGAGATTTGGAATTTCGTGATGTGAACATCCTTGATCAATCCATTTGCTTGAGTGAAACCGCTATCCTTGGTATATTTGGCAGCGTTAGGTTGGATTGTGAGACCGATTGAGGAAGCCCGTAGACCGCGTAATTGGGTTTTTGTCCTGGCGTACCGATTCCTCCAATCCTTGACCTCTGCCTCCAGTCTATTGACAGTTTCTGAGAGTTGCTCCTCCCGATCATATGATGAACTACTGCGTTCTGAAAGTATCCGCATTTCCCCGAGGAATTCTTGGGCTTCCCGGCGAACTTCGTCTGTAATCCGCTGCTGATCGTCAAGTTCTGCTCTAAGTTCCCCATTTTCGCGCTGCTGATCGTCCAGTTCTGCTCTAAGCTCCTGGTTTTCATGCTCCAGATCTCCACCAAGTCCTCTGTCTCCAGATGATTTAACCTCTGCTAGCTCTGTTCGCAGTTCCCTCTCCGTATTAGCCTGATCCGCTCGTACTCGTTCTATCTCGGATTGAAGAGATTCGTTTAGATTTTGCGCATCTGCCACCTGATCTTCCAGATTCTTCCTCAGATTAAGCCATTCCGACTTCTCTGCAGTTGCCGAGGCTGATTGATCCAGAACACTGGCCAGCTCGTCATCTTTTGCCTTGAGATTATCTTCCATGCCATCTAGCCTTTCTCTCAGCTCTGCAACTTGTGTTTGGTAATCGTCAATGAGTTTCTTGTCGGTCTGCGAAGATTGTTAGTACACTAATGTCGAAGTCATGCTAGAGCAAAGCCTACCTCTGATCCCTGAGTGCTCTTCTTGCTTTCTCTTCTTGCGGCTCCTTCTAAACCAAAGGCATCTCCGTCATCATCATCATTATCTTCGCCTCCCGTCTCGTCATCTTCTACCATCGTACTTTTATTCGGAACTATCGTATTACTCTGAAATGTTTTTGGTGTAGGTCGGCCGTAATCATTAGGGGGAAGTCCAGGAGAGGGTGGGATACCAAGTCCTCCATTCATTGGAGGACGGGGTCCGGGTCCTCGTGAATCGCTTCTCATCGAGTATGTAGAGTTTGCTTCTGAAGGTCTCCGCATCCGCGGACCCCCATTCACAGGTGTGCCATTTCGACTTGGGGGCCCTCTTGCCGAAGCAGGGCTTCCCATTCGACCTATTTCCCCAGCAACAAACCGGGGAAATCTCCTCTCCAATTCGTAGAAGACATCTGTTGCAAGATCTCGAAACCTGGGTGGGGGTAAGGTAGAGAGCTTTTGTCTGGCTTGATTTCGCTTTGGATGGAATGAGTCTTTGGCTAATAGGTATGTTGGCGGGCCATTTTGAGGCGGAGGGCCACCGTTTGGCGGCCTTCTCGAGGTTTGTTGTCTCCGCAAGAGCTCATCAAAGACATCTGTGCTGAGTTCCTGGAATTGAACAGCCGATAGCCGCAATAGCTTGTCCCGGGCCCTATTTGGTCGTGGATTGCCCTTCTCGTCTCGTAATGAAGCGGCCAGATATCTCTTGAGAGCGATGTAATGTTCTGAAAGTATACCTTCGAATTGCGAGTCCTTTATATTCCTATTGTTGTCGCTCGAGGCGTATAAACCAGTGCCGGTGCTCGATCGCGCTATTGAGCTCGGGGGTGATGGAGCGCCGCCTGGACTGCCACCAGGAGAACCTCTTGGGGGAAAGCCACCTCCGTTCATGGTACTGCCGTTAGAGCCACTGGATATAGGCGGTGAAGCAAGCTGGCCGCGATTGTTCGGACCGGGAGAATAGATCGAGTCGTTTTGGTATTTCGAGATACCGCTCCATTCGCTGCCCCCTACAGAGACAGGTGATAATGGTCCATTGCGACCGTTCATTGTAGATGCCGTAGAAATATGTGGCTGGCACCTTTGACTAAAGCGCAATCCTCGGGTTATGGATCGCGACCGAACCCTCACAACATCTGCCAACACAATAGAGAAAATGGTCCCTCAAGATTTCGTTTTTACTGCCGTATACACAATTGCTTCGAACAGGAAGTGCAACGAGGTCACCTCTGAGGAGTCGCTGAAACGTCCCAGGTCGGGCAGGGGGTTCGCTTCAATGTTGTCGGAGATGTGGCGCTGCAAAGGGGACGGAGACTGACTCGGCAGGATTCTCAGGCTGCAGATGGGTAAGGACCGTAAGACTGCGATGCTACACCGACACCTACACAGTCAAGAAAGGCGGGGATGGAAGTACTGGGGAATTAAGAATTAGAAGTTATCGAGCGAGCGACGCAGGAGGCGGGCGTCGACGATTAGATGGGGAGACGGAATTTTCTATCGCGACCCCCTTTGATTTTTTGGCGTTTTCGGACAGCGCGTAAATTAACTCTTCCCGTTACGTTAGCTCTTGGGACAGGGGTTTGTATCGATAACAAGGGAACCAGGCCAGGCAGGCGAGAGCATACAGTACGGAAATGTAGCAATGGGTTATGAGAAGGACTGGAAGACGGTGCAAGAGAAGAGAGGAGGAAGCATGAAAGTCCAGTCTGGTTTCTGCTGCCAACAAAAAACTCGGTATCAATACCGACCGGTACGAGTAACTCCTCGAGCCCAGGCCAGGCCGGGCACCAATCGCTTCAGGGGCTTGTACGTACAAGTACAGTACAGGGGAAGCCGCTGCGAGCTGTTGATTGGCGAGGCTGCGCTGCCTCAAATCACTCAAAGAGGATATCTAGAAAGTTGACGAACGCAATGTTATCTAGGACAGACAATTCGTGAGTTTGACTGCATCTGAATTGTATCTTCCTTCTTCTGAAGTAAACCAACCCAAGCGAGACTTAATAGTGTGGTGTGTTTGCTATAAAGATGGATGGATGGATGTTATTTGCTTCTCCTTGCTTTCCTTGCCTTGCTTTGCCTCGCCATGCTTCTGGAAGCTTTTGGTACGCGAGCCCCCCTTGAAATCCAATCTCCCGGGACGTGTCTTCCACCGCGTGGCAGACCTTGGCATTGTGTTCTTATTTGTAGCCCCTGGGTAACCGGTGGATCTAAATATATATGAAAGGGTCCCCTTGTACTGAACTGAAATGGACTCGCATTAACTAAAGGGTCATTTATTTCTCTCCGGTATTTGTATTTCACAAATTCATTGCTTCCTAGATGTGCCAGCACTGTTCCATTGGTTTATTTATGGGCTACCAGTTGCCCATACTGTCTAGACATGGCTATTGCTAAATGGTCGAACCCATCTTTTCCAATGATCCCATGAATCCAGCAAAGGGTATCCCGGTCCTGAACGCCCATCCTAATATACGCCGATGTGCAATCCTCAAAACCATGCCAACGTCCATACCGCTGGTAGATTTGGCCATCTCTCCTGCCACTCTCCAATGATTTCAGGAACGCGTTCATCAAAGCTGGTTCTACTAGCAGCGTTCCCACTATCAAAACCACTCGGATTCATGTCTCTAGCTTCTGCTGCAGCCTTATTGAGAGAATCTGCCAAGTCCAGGATACCTCTTCCGCCGATCAAGGCTTCTTCGTGGTTATCCTTGATATCTACGTTAATGACGTGGACAGGTCGGTTCAAAGGAGATCCTCGATTGAGGAGATCATCGACGACCGCGTCCCAGCATCTTTCTTCGCAGGTAATGACAACATCTACCACTCCTCCCTCTACTCCTTCACTGCCCCGATCTGTGTTGTGCTCCAGCCTAGGCACGCCAGGCTGCCAGTCTTGCCATCTCTCCGGGCCCCATTTGACGTCTCTATTCCGTCCCAACATGTTCAGAATACCATTTGCACGGTATAAGCGCGGATCTTTGGCCTCGAGCTCTCTGTACATGCTATCGTATGAGGTTTTGTTGAATTGGTAGACATTTGGTTGAGTGATGGAGGGTCCAGGAAGACGGACGAGAGAACCGGTGCCGAAGGATATGACTGGGTAATTGGCGGCGGCAAGTCGGAGATGTGATTCCATGGACCTGGAAATGATATTAATATTTGATATGGATGGATGGTGGTGGAGCAACGAACCTGTTGTTGTTACTCGCACAGACGGTGCAGAACTTGAGTTTGAAGCCTCCAGAGTCCTCTGGCATTCCATTTGATGTCCCCCCATTCACCGCCTCCGGTTGTGCGTGTACTTGTGCCATGCTGAGCGATGTTGCTGACACGTGGGCAGAGCTTCACAGTTCAAAGAGCATGGCCCTCAGTCACACAATTCTGTGTCTCCTTCGCAGATTAGCTCTCGTACAGAGGGAAGAGTTCATATACATTCGAGAGAGGGGAAGGCATTCAGAAGTTGCGTATAATAAGATTGTGTCATCATGAGAATAAGACAGCTCCAATATAAATGTTCATCATTGTGTAGGATGGGATGGGTCAAGGGAATGATATGTGTATACGTACCGAGTATCAAGTCATGGCCATTATGATTCTTGCAAAGTTGTTTTGTGTGGGATTGGGTGAAGGCAAGTTCCTATGTTTTCGCACAAAGCTCATGATGCAGCTAACAAAATTTCAAGGCGCTTGGGTGGAAGAAGACTGCTACGGCGACCTATAAAGCATAATTCCGCAGTTACAGTTACAAGAGTACAGCCAGCTACAGCTTCACTTGGAGCTAGCTAATTATTAATCAGATGGAATGCAACTTGGCGCTTATGAAAGTACACGTGGCATATCAGTCTTTTACGTACATCGTACACGCATATTTCAGATAAGCCACTTTTCCGCCGATTCAGGTACGAAATACCTCAAATTACCTGGAGCTGTGGGGAGGTAGGCAGCTTGGGTTGGCTAGTGAAGATATAAATTGCTTTCTTATTTAACAACCTCAATAACCTTTGGCATTCGCTACAACTCTCAACTTTCAACTCTCTGACTCTCTCAATATATCACACGTGACAAAGAATGACAGAGTAGTAGGATCTCTTTAACAAAGAAAGATAAAGGGTTCCTTTGAAAGTAAGAAAACACTTAGGTATGGATATAACTTTACTTCAGAACAATATGGTCGTTATGGCCGCCCATATAGCTTTAATCATCGGAACAACGGAAGAGTGGAGATGAACGCGGTCAACCAATGGAATGCCTGGACCTCGGACCTGAAACGCCTAAGAAGAAGCACAGGGGCTCTTTTTCTCGCTTGCATGTCCCCAAATAGATCATCGGCCTTAGCTTAGCCAAAATGTTACTCCCTGATGCTCCCTGTTGCCATTCCAGAGAAGATCTCTCTACCTAGTACAGTACCGACCGACCGCACTGTATCAGTCCATCCACCATCTCATCCCATCTCTCCCACCACCACCAAAAGGATCATACCATCCATACCTTCCTTACCTTACCATACCATACCATTCATTCCCTTCCTCCCTCCCTTCCCTCCTTCGCGCCCTCTTCTCGCTGTCACGTGTGCATCCCAAGTCAACAAACAACTCTTGTCGCCCTCAATATTGCGCCTGCGGGGTTGGTCTGTTCGCTGGTCAACATCAAGACAAACTTGCAGCTGAGGCGTCTGAGTCTCGCGCTTACCAGTTGCCCTCGCCCTTGCCCTCGTCCTCTTTGCGCCTACGAGTAACCGCTTGATTGCGGTCTGAGCGCGAGTCTTCTTCAACTGTGATACTGTAGGCTCAGCCACTGCTATTCAACTTCCACCTGCGCCAAGGCAATTGGTGATCACGGCTGGGCGACAACAAGACACATTCTCTTGCGAAGATCGCGAAGATCTGGCCTTTCGGGCTCTGTCCCAAAAGTTAAAAAACGAGGATCGGCCTTGTTCAAAGAGACCCAACCGCAACCGCTTCAGTCCCAACCCTCAAATCAGAACAGCCCCCCAACCCGGACAGCGCGTCTGTTGCGCCAGCATCTACTCTTCCCCATCGAAACGAGCGTCAAGCATTCGCTACGCATACCAACATCTACCGTAACGACCTTTAGTCACTGTTGGGAAACCTTCACTTGCAACTTAGAGCGCAGTGGCTGTTGAGGGATCGCGCCAGCGAATCTTAATTGTCAATATTTGCTCCTGCGAGGCTGCGTCTGTTGGCGAATACATATTTGGTGCGATTTGAGGCTTGCTGGCCAAGCTGTCAACGGCTCTGCCATCACCGTACAATACAAACACAATCGACATAAAACCACATCTACGCAGGCAGCGACTCTTCATAAAATGGCAGCCGTAATGTCCCCAACGTTGGACACAACATCATCACCAGCTACCTCTCCATCCCCAATATCCTCCCCATCTTCAAATCCGAACCACCCACAACTACCACCTCTAATCACATCACCCGCCACTCGGCGCTCCGTGTTACAACGCCCTAATTCACAGGCCGCAAGAAACAGACTGTCCCAATACTCGAACTATTCCGCGCCCTCTCGATCACGGCCGCCCTCACATATATTTCCCGTGTTTCATACAAGTCTGCCCTATACACTGGTTCGAGACTTCGCATTTCCCATATCACATCCTATGCACTATGGGCCACCGCCTGAGCCCTCCCAACCAGCCTCCGGTGCTTCGACGCCAGTCAGTGAATCCCAGAAGCAACTGTCTGATCCTCCTACTTCATGGGATAGTGGGGGTGGCTGGGCGCCTGGACCGTGGACCGTTGATGGGCTTTCCAAGGGAGAACAGCTGGCTCCAATACACTTTGGTGATGGTCCGCCATGGAGCGAAGACGAGGACCTTCAAAGTCCGGTGGTTGTGAGCTCTCGACACAGAAAACACAAGTCATCCAGTGCAGTGGGAAATGGCCACGGGCGCGGAAGAAGTAGGAACCGTGGAGACGGAGCAAGAACCGCTAGTATGCTCAGCCAAGAAAATTATGATAACGACAGAGGCTATTTCGTCGGGACCCGTGTCGATGGAGCTGAAAGGTATTATGTTAATCAAGGGGAAGAGGCGAATGGACCAGGGGGTGAAATTGTTACATATCCTGCGGAACAAGCACGACATTCGACACTGGCTCCTTACAATTTACCAGGACAGAGAGATTCTCACTTTGCTGGCACTCTACCCAGCAGGTCATACACGGATGAAACGGGTCAGGATTACCCATCCGAATCAGATGCATCAAGTTCCGAGTCTTCTCCAGGAATGACACGGCATGATGAGTCCAGGTACTCTAGAGACTACCAGTTCACAATTGCATCGCCAGATGAAGAAATGCATGGAAAGGCTGTAGCTCTTTTTGACTTCCAACGAGAGAATGAGAATGAACTGCCATTAGTGGAAGGCCAAGTAATTGTGGTATCTTACCGACATGGTCAAGGCTGGCTAGTGGCAATGGATCCGAGGACACAAGAAAGTGGATTGGTTCCCGAGGAGTATGTTCGGTTACTGCGCGATATTCAAGGAGGCTTGAATAGTCTGAAGGGACAAGCAAATGATCAGATGCTTAGTCCCGTTGTCGATTCGGGCACACCTACTCAGGCGCAGCACAATCAAAGCTTCGGGAATGCTCCTGCTGCTAGTAATGGCAACAACGAATACCAACAACCCATCGTTTCCACCTTCTCGACATCTTCAAGGGACCTTCATCCATACCCCCAGCATCTTTTGGGTACCCAAGCTGGTCAAGCCCCACCTCAAGTGATCCATTACCATGGACAGCGAGGGGGAAGCCAAGCCAACACCCCTACGCTCTCAAGTTCTCTGGAAGGCTCCCGAGAACGACCAAATAGTCAAGAAGCCAAAGTCAAAAAGACAGAGGACAGTTCAGACACCACACCAATAGCAGTCACTCTCCCAGATGCAAAACTTGAGCCTTCGATAGCAGTCCAGCAGCCCGAAAGCCCAGACAGTGACTCATCCGAAGATTCATCCGACGACGAGAAGGGTGTTCAAAGTCCCTGACCAGGCAGTGGCATTTTACAAAATCGAAGGAGTGGAAATTTTGATCTAGCGGGATGGGAGGGTTTATTGTTGTTGTTGTACTGGTTTTCTGCGTTTGTTCTTGCATTTTCAATACCCCATTTCGTCGGTTGCATATGTTTGTTTTGGGTAGATCGGTTCTTTTGCTTGAACACACTGTATTATTCATTCTTTGGACAAGGGGAGGCGATGCATATAAGGTTATGAAGTTTATGACAATAGTTTTATTTGATGTTAGCGGATTATTGAGTGGGAAGGCTCGATATCTATGCATTGGATGGAAGCTTGATAATGTATGAGATAGGATGGGGATGATGATGAATTAGTAGGGGAAGGATATCAGATAATGAACATAAGAAAGTCTTGTTCAACCTAATTTGATCCAAAGCTAGTATTAGTTAAATGCGAGTAGGATTATACGTAAGATTTAGTCTCATATAACCTGTCTATCGGCCATTGATAAAGCGTTGAAGGAAAGATGCTCCAGCTCTTACAAAGTACGTGCACTCCAAACTCAAGAGTCCTTTGATCGAGTTCAGCTTAAAGCTCCCAACTCAATCTAAATATCATATCATGACTCCCAACGCCCCAAACCTAAAACCCAAACCAACATTACTTCCCTCCCGTTACCCTCGCAACTTCCTCCCCATCTACACTCACAACCTGCACCCCCTTCTCCTTTAAGTCCCCCACAACTTCATCCCACCCTGCCGCATCCACAGCTCTCGTCGCCTCCCCCACAACCCACGTCCTGAAGCCCTCAGCAGCGGCATCCACCGCCGTAGCCCTAACACAATAATCAAAAGCCAAGCCCACCACAAAAACATCAGTCACGGCCTCACGCTCGAGTATACCCTTCAGCCCACTATCAACACATTTGTGCGGATCGTAAAACGCGGAATACATTTCTATGTCCTGCCTCTGGCCCTTCTCTACTACCCTATCAATCCTAGATAGGGATAGGGAAGGGAGGAGCTCGGCGCCGGGTGTTCCCTGGATACAGTGGTCGGGCCAGAGTTTCGTTTCGTAGGACCCGATGGGTGTGGTTATGGTTGTGGTTGAGGTGAAGGGGTGTGTCCCGGGGTGCGTAGAGGAGAAGGAGGTGTGGTTCGCGGGGTGCCAGTCTTTGGTGGCTACTTTGAGGGGGAAGGGGAGGGCGAGGAGGTGGTTGATTGTTGGGATTATAGATCGGGCATTGGGGACTGCTAGGGTGCCATTCTGGTGGGGGGGGGAGGGTTAGTTGGGTTGCAGAGGTTGGACGGGGATGAGGGCGTACGGGTGGACAGAAGTCTTCTTGGACGTCAACGACTATGGAGGAAGGGTGGTCAGCTATGTTTCTTGAGTATGCGGTGATCCGGATTGTGTGACATTTGATGTCTTGTGATATCTTGAAACGTTATCGGAGCCATTGGTCTTACTGATTAAAGCGGATTTGAAGTCGGGGTTTGCCATGTTGGTAAATGTAAAGATATCAATGCTATGTGGTGGGGAAGCTCTGAAAGTTTGTGCCCAAGAATGAGGGATTACAGTAGCTTTATATTACTTTTAGGGAAAATTCTGGAAATGCCAGGCGTCACTGGAAAGACTAAGAAGATAATGACGAGTCAATTGACTAGTCAATTGACTCGTAGGTATTCTATGAAATGGAATCTAACACGGCCAGCTCGAGATGTGAGCGGTGGTGGCGATCTTTTGGATCTTGAGCTTATCGCATGTTGCGGGGAAGGAATCTTGCGCTAAGAATTACAATTCTCACTCTATTGGACGCCCCAGCATGAAAACGGACTCTGATTCTGATGTATCACAAACTCAAAATCTGCAGCTCGAAATAACAATAAAACTACTGCGTAACATGATGTGTGGTGGCAAAGAAGCAAGTTAGGAAAGATACTTGTAAACGTAGAAATAATCCCCGCCGCCACTATTGCCTTTTTACCCTTTGAGACGGCACAGCCCAACACCCACTTGAGCATTAACATGAGCCATAGGTGAAGGAGATACTACTACGGCTATTACTGTAGAAAAGAAAAGTTGAAAGGAGGCAAAAGAACAATATCAAGCCTTTCCATTATCGTAAAGTTTCTTCTTTCAGGGGCGCTGCGCTGTACCCCCTTTATCCTCCTCTATCGGGAACCTAGCAGTGACACTATCGGGAAACGCTAGAACAGAACTGTAACCGAAATTCATTTCCATCGCTCTTTGCTTCTAGCCCGCCCAAATTGACTGCCACCACCAAACAAGCATTAATTTGGCACTTGGTCCTCCTTTTCTCTTTCTCTTTCTCTTTCGCTCTCTCTACAAGACTCACCAAGGTCGCGCACAACTCGCCAGCTTTGGGTCATACTCCTGGATTCAACACCACTCGAGTAGTCCTAGTTCACGCCTAGGTATGTTTGTTTATTTGCGCGTTTTCCACATCTCCCCAAATTCCACCTTCTCTGCGATACCATACAGGAATCCTATAGCTATCCACGCGGGAGTCGTCAATTGATACTCGGAAAAGCCTCTGTCAGATCTCTGCCATGTCATTGGCACCGATGGGCGGCGGCCCAAAAGGATTCGGCCGAGTCTGTTGAGAACAAACGCATCTCGGTATTTTCCTAAAATGATTCGGCCTCCGAGTCTTTTTGGAGTCAAATACTCCTCGGGATAGTTTCCAATCGCCTCGCGCATATTCTTTTTTTTTAACACCCTCGTCGCATATTCAAACTCTGCTGGGTAATAGAAGCTGATTGCTGCGCCCCATAGGCAGACAAAACAACAGCAGATAACCCGCACCTTTCGATGGCTTTTTAGATCCTGTTACAAGACCTCCAAACCTTGAAACCTCGAAAATGCCTCTTCTCGCCCGAATTCGCGGGGCTCAGACAGATACCGCGAAGACTCCTGCTCGTCCGGTTTGGTTGAACAAAAAAATCACACCGATTTTGCAGGCCATCTCGTACAGAGCATGTCTCCACCCCATACATACAATTGTCATTGTTGCCTTCTTGGCGAGCACGACTTATATTGGCCTGCTGGAAAGTAGTCTCTTCGATGTGGTGAAAGCTACAGCTGGGGGAAAGGCCGACTGGGCCTCCTTAACTGCAGGTAGCCGTCAATTGAGAGTTGGAGAAGAAACTGGTTGGAAATGGCAAGCAACGGACACTACGACGCCAATCCCACAGGGCGTGGATCATCTAGCCCTTCTCACTTTTGTCTTCCCGGATTCGCTAGCCGCCAATTCTCCACAGACTGCTCCTCTACCCAACGTTGTACCTGTACCGGAAAACTTGACCGTCACCCACCTACCATCGACATCCAACCCGCTGGCCCCACTCTCCCAGGATAGTGCTCTGGCATACTCAGTTCCATACAGCCAGGCTGCGGAATTTCTTGCCGGGGCTCAAGAACTGCCAAATTCTGTCATGGAACTAGAACTACACGACGAAAAAGCCCGTACTGGAATGGAAGCTGAGCATCTCAGGGAGCAAAAGATGTGGCTCATGAAAGCTGCGAGGGTTCACGAATCAGATTACAGTGTCAGAAGTTGGGCCCTGAACGCCTGGACCGAATTCGTGGATCTGATTAAAAATGCCAAGACGCTCGACATCATAATCATGGTGCTGGGATACACGACTATGCATCTAACCTTTGTCTCTCTTTTCGCCTCTATGCGACGAATGGGTTCCAATTTCTGGCTCTTTGCAACTACCTTGATCTCATCGGTCTTCGCCTTCCTCTTCGGCCTCCTTGTAACTACAAGAATGGGAGTACCAATGAACATGGTTCTACTTTCGGAAGGTTTACCGTTCCTAGTGGTTATAATTGGTTTCGATAAGGCCATCTTCCTGACTAAGGCTGTATTGTCCGCATCGATAAACACACGCAGACCACGAGCTCAGAGCAGTCCCAAAGCTGGAGATTTGGAGAAGAAACAAATGTCAACTTCGATTGGATATGCTGTTCAAGTAGCTATTGAGGAGAAGGGCTACGAAATCGTCCGTGACTACGTGGTTGAAATTTCCCTTTTGACTATGGGAGCGTTTTCTGGTGTACAAGGTGGATTGCAACATTTCTGTTTCCTAGCTGCTTGGATTCTGGTATTCGACTGCATTCTTCTTTTCACCTTCTACACTGCTATTCTAAGTATCAAGCTGGAATTCAACCGGATCAAACGCCACGTTGCGCTGCGCCAGGCTCTTGAAGATGATGGTATCAACCACCGGGTAGCTGAGACTGTTGCCCAAAGCGAGGAATGGCCGAAAGCCAAAAACTCAGGTACCAGCGATATATTTGGACGCAAAGTCCGAGACAGCAGCATCCCGAAATTCAAGGTTCTCATGGTGTCGGGATTTGTCATAATCAATGCTCTAAACATCTGCACCATCCCATTCCGAGGTGGAAAGAACAACGCAGCGCCTCCTACAGTGAGTGGGATTACGGGGAATGGACTGCACGTCATAAACTCGCCTCCCATGGATCCATTCAAAGTCGCATCGAATGGTCTCGAGTTTATCTTCGAGTCTGCGAAGTCTCATGACAAATCGACCGTGGTCACCATACTTACACCTATCAAGTACGAGCTCGAGTACCCTTCGATACATTACGCCAAGCCTTCCAGAGGTGGTAAGGACAGATCGTCACTACGAAATGAGAATGGAGAATACGTCAGCGACTATGGAATGGGGGGCCGCGTCGTTGATGGCATACTCAAGAGCCTAGAAGATCCGATTTTGTCGAAATGGATAGTCGTTCTTCTAGCATTGAGTGTGATTTTGAACGGTTATCTATTCAATGCTGCGAGATGGAGCATCAAAGAACCCCTGCAGCTGGCTCCTCACCATTCCGTGGATGCTTCAGAGCTTGCGTTAGCTGAGAGGTTCAACAACTCAGCCTCAACGCCGACACTGAAGTTACCCTCCATCGATCCAACAGCTACTGAAAATGTAGCACCACCAACTCCAGCAACAACAGACGATGAGTCGGACGTTCTCACCATGCGCAGAACTCCAGTAGACAGCCGGCCATCTACTCTCAGCCGAGTGCAAACAGAGCCTAGTCTACGCCGCACCCAGGAACAAATGGATCAGATGCTTCGAGAAAAGCGAACACCAGAGCTCACCGATAGGGAGCTCGTAGAGCTATCCTTGCAAGGCAAACTCCCTGGCTATGCTCTCGAAAAAACATTGAAGGATGCTACTCGCGCTGTCAAGATTCGGAGATCGATCATCTCGCGAACTCCCGCTACTTCCGAGACTACTAGTCTCTTGGAGTCGTCCTTGTTACCGTACCAGAACTACAACTATGATCGTGTCCTCGGCGCTTGTTGCGAAAACGTTATTGGATACATGCCCTTACCACTTGGTGTTGCTGGACCGATTGTCATTGATGGTCAGAGCTTTTTCCTACCCATGGCTACGACAGAAGGTGTTCTTGTCGCCAGTACAAGTCGTGGTGCTAAAGCTATCAACTCTGGTGGCGGCGCAGTCACGGTCATAACGGGCGATGGCATGACTCGAGGCCCCATTGTTGCATTTGAAACTCTAGAGCGAGCAGGCGCCGCGAAAGTATGGTTAGATTCCGAAGCTGGCCAAGAAACTATGAGAAAGGCGTTCAACTCTACGAGCAGATTTGCTCGTCTTCAATCACTCAAGACTGCGTTGGCAGGCACAAATCTCTATCCCCGTTTCAAGACTACTACTGGTGATGCAATGGGGATGAACATGATCTCCAAAGGCGTCGAGTATGCTTTGACTGTCATGTCAGACAGTGGGTTTGAAGACATGAACGTCATTTCCGTTTCTGGCAACTACTGCACTGACAAGAAGCCCGCTGCAATCAACTGGATTGATGGTCGGGGAAAGAGCGTCGTTGCAGAGGCCATCATCCCTGCCGAGACTGTGCGGAAGGTCCTCAAGACGAGTGTAGATGCTATGGTGGAGCTGAATATTGCCAAGAATCTAGTCGGAAGCGCAATGGCTGGAAGTATTGGTGGCTTTAACGCCCATGCCTCGAACATTGTCACTGCCATTTTCTTAGCCACTGGTCAAGATCCAGCCCAAAACGTCGAAAGCAGTAATTGTATCACACTCATGAAGAAGTAAGCTGACCCATAACCCAAAGATTGTTGAACTTTACTAACCAAATCACGTAGCCTTCGTGGGAACCTTCAAATCAGTGTTTCGATGCCCTCCATCGAGGTTGGAACATTGGGTGGTGGTACAATTCTTGAACCACAAAGCGCGATGCTCGATCTGCTCGGTGTCCGAGGCTCGCATCCCACGAACCCGGGTGACAATGCCCGAAAGCTTGCGCGCATTGTTGCGGCGGGTGTGCTTGCAGGAGAACTGTCACTGTGCAGTGCTCTTGCTGCAGGCCATTTGGTCCAAAGCCACATGGCACACAACCGTAGTGCGCCCGTAACGAGAACGAGCACCCCAGCACCGACTGGTGCTCAAACACCCGTGACTACTGCAGTGGCAAGCATGCAAGAAAGAGCTGGCTTAACAATGTCGCCCTCTACCACAATGTCGTCAGCTGCTATTCTCAGAGCTGCCGAGGCGAGGAAATAGTGCAGTAAATGGAAATAAATAATTGGCATTGGATGGAGTTTTTATGGCGTTTTCATTATTCTAGAGCGCAAGCTTGCTATAAACTTGGGCACTGTTTACCTTGGTGTCAATACAGACATAGACCTAGATTTGGTCTTTCTTCGATTGGTTTTACACTGTGCTCTGGACTTTTGGACAGGGGCGGTTAGATACTTTAGACGCAGGAGCTTACAATGAAAGCCACTAAAAATATCTCATAATAGCGCTTACTTGGGAGACTACCCCTATTTCGCATGAGAATCACTTTGAAGAACACGGTCAAATTTTTAATGTATTTATGGAAGACGCAATGCCGTGCGTGGACTCTCACACGTAATAGTCGTTCTTTCCAACGTTGGCTTCTAATCTTATTATGAAGTAGGATGGTGGGATGATTGCAGAGATATATATATATATTTTTTGAGGTGATGTTGCGCATGGAGGGCATTAACAACAATAGTAGTCAAGGACAAAATATTTATCAAAAGTAAATTTTATGGGAGTAAATATAGGTGGGGTATATCTCCAAAACAAAAATAGTGTGCTTGGCCCCACATCATAATCCAATCATTTTTAAAGCTGACAAAAACTGGACGCCTTCCAACTCCAACTTCTACCGTCTAAAGTAGGACTTTTCGAAAGATCTTAATATACAGTAGGAAATAGCAGAGAAGGAGAACGCCAATTCAAATCCAACGTCACCACCATATTCAGCACCGCAGAGCTTTCCAATGGGACCCGTGAACCATACCTGAGCCATTCCGAGCACAGCTCCCATAACACCAAAGAGGAAAGCAGTGATGGCGGCGAATCCAGGAGGAAGCTTGCTAGGCTCGAGGTAGTCCTGAGGGTTATATCCGCTGAATCCACGCTTGAAGAAAACATGTTCCGAAATGGAAATGCCCTCATAAATAGCCAGCCAGTACCCAATCACCAGCATGAAGTTTTCGAGGATGGACTCAAAGTGACTGTAACCTGGGATTGCGATGGCGACATAGACGCATGTTCCGATAAAGGTCCAAATGAATCGGGGAACGCGTTGGGACACACGAGCCAGGAGTTGGAGACTGAGAGAGACGGAGTAGATGTTCGGGCAGTTGTTGGCAACGATGGAGAGTGCGAGAATGACCAAGCAGAATTGACCGAATTTGCCCAATGGTGGGACGATGACGGCGGCCAGAAGTCCTCCAATGCCAGAAGAACTATAGCCATCCATATAAGCATTGTCTCCATCGTTGGCAGCCATTGTCGTTGCGATAGCAGCACCGAGCATTTGGGTGAAGAGAAGAGGGAATGAAAGGCCGGCGAACGTCCACAGAAAGATCGATTTGCGGGAACGACCGACAGGTTGGTAAACAGTGTAGTCGGCAGCATAGGAGGTCCATCCAGTGGCAAACCCATAAACGGATGCGGCAAAGGAAAGAGCAGATCCTGCTTCAGATATCCCGACGCCCATTGGGATGTTCGAAAATTCACCAGAGTGGGCGAATTCTCCCAATACAACCAAGAAGATAATTAAGCATGGAATCCAGGAGTATCTCTCGTAGGTGTGAACAATCTTATACCCGAAGAGGGTAATGAGGAAGGTTGAGACCGCAATTACCAAGATTCCAGCCCAGCCAGGCATATTGTGGTTGACAGCATTGAACAATTGGGCTCCAACAATGACATTTACAGAGGACCAACCAATACAAGCCAGGATGTTGAAAACAGCAACTTCGAAGAGGTTAGATCCAGGACCGCCATTGAGGCTTCAGGTGACTTACTGATTTTTACACCATACCATCCAAAGTAGAAACGGCTTAGCACCATCTGTCTCAATCCGAATCGAGGGCCAAAAGTCGAAAAGAAACAGACAGGAAGTATTCCCATCAAGTTGACGAAGAAGATGATCAAAATTGTGTCAATGAATCCAAGGTAGAAGACAGGGTATGCCAGAGCTCCAATGGCAAAAGACGAAACGACCATGTTGGCACTGAGCCACTATTTTGGAGTTAGTGGCGATTTTGTATTGCAATGTCATATAGGAAGGGAAGCTTACCAAAGTTCCAATTTGTGACATACCAGCATCGGAACGCTCGTCACTTGGAACACGCTCGATACCTCTCTGCTCTACACCAAATTTCCCCGCGAGTCTCTGTGTCCTCGCATACCAAGAATCTCCCAAAACGAAAGTCTCGGCGGGAACAGCACCTTCGTCTGGGACAATACCGCTGCCATACTCGCTCGACCCCCCTGATTTTTCAGCCGGTACTGACTCGACGTCGAAGTCGGACTTGTTTTTCGAAAAAGGACCCATTTTGAAAGATGAGTTATGTCGAGATTGGAAGTATGGGACTGTTTTCGTTTAATATTCTGAAACTATTCGAGTATCCCAATTGGAGTGAGAGGTAGGTTCAAATATGAACCTTCACTGCCAATGTCCTGCTTGCATTGGAACAGGAAACAGGGAGGACGGATGATAGTAATATATAAAAATCTAGTAGCCGTGTATTGCCACCTTGAAACAGGGATCTAAGACCAGGGTAGCTCTGCGTGGAGAAAGAGGTACTGTATGCATTGGGTCCGGCCTGCGGACGACTCCGATGTTTTAGTAGTTGGGTGGAAGCAACCGTGAGAGATTCCTTCAGCCAATAGCCTTAGCTGTGGGCTCAAGGGCCTGAAAAGTAGTATTTAGTCACTGATAAGGAAATCAGAGCTAAACGGAGCCCCGAAACTTAGGAAAGAGGTGGACGCGGGGTCTAAAGGTGCTAGAAGATATCAAAAAGGCTCCAGAAGGTCTTAGCAGATATCAAAGTTCAAGAGCATCATTTCTTGCACACGATCACGCCGGTACCCGATGCGAACTTAACTCGAAACTTTGAAACTTTAAAACTCATCCAGATCTCAGATGTCGTGGGAGCTGAATAGCACGATTGTCCCGCTATACTTGACCTTGAATGGCGACGCCACGGGTTTTCTGTGCATCCACTGACCTTAAGGCAGCACGAACGACAAGACCTACTTGGACATACTCCTTGGCAAGCCATATGGTCGAAACCTCCAATCACTTCTTGTAGAAATTTTCACAGGTTCACGATAACCTCGCAAATGCATGATGCAGACACAGGGTTCTCAGCTGGATTTCTCTTTCTGAAAGTATTTTGCATGTAGATCATGGACACTACAGGGCTGGCGCTTCGTACTATCTTACTCGAGTGTCGATGGTTAAAACCGCGAAATACATGTCGCGAATAGAATCGGGATGCTGCCTGCAGTATGCTAGAACAAATAGAAGGCAGAATTCCCCACAGATCGAACGAAATAGATGATTATTTCCCATGTGTACCTCTTATGTTCGACGCGGTCCGCCGCTGACAAGAATGCTTGCAGAGATGGGAGCTTGCATTGAGCCGCCGCGCCTTGGACGTTTTGATGAATAGAGAAGCTGCAAGAGACCTCTGTTGCACAGCGGTCAAAGCCCACATGCATTGCAGGCGTGCACTGCGTTTCGGTCTGAACCTCCTGTGAATAAGAGGACGACAGAAGTAAGATAATTACGATCCAGATAATGAGTAGAGACGCCTTGCCTAAAACGGCTAAGCCAGAACAGGGTTGCTTTCGTGCAGTGGATCTTCTCGACCTTGCCTTGCCATGCTCCTCAATTGCCTTTCTCTTCTCCTCTTCTTCGGTAGTCAAACTCTCTTCCCAAGCTGCATCTAAGGCCGGTTCCTTGTTAGTTTAGGTGGGGGGGGTTAAGGTGAAGGCGGGAAGCTGCACCTTCTATTATGACCACGGTCGTTTCCCTGCGATGCGATGAGGTCCGGGAGAAGTACAAGCAACTTTCCAGAACTTCAGACGAGATGAGCTACAGTGTCGCAATTTGCCCAAATAGAGGCTTCTTACAGGGTAGTCCCACGTTGTCCGCCTCGAGATGCTCAATTGAGTCGAGTCGAGGTTCCACGTTTCGGGATTGCCCGATGGCCGCTTTCACTTCGCGGGGCGAGCCTTGGGGTAGTACAGTGTCGACGACCCTCCCATTTGGAACGAACCTTTTTTCTTTTGAGATTGAAACGCAAGCTAAACGTGCTTAAGCAGCCGCATACAGCTTTAGTTGGAATATCAGAATTCGAGGCTAGGCTCTCCATGAAGCGTGAAGTCCCCGCCTATAGGGCTATCCTGATGCTTCTTCTAATCTGGACCACAGATCTCTCAAGCTCATTGCATCAGTGTATGTTGCGATGCTGATAACTCTGTAGTTTCTAATTGACGCAGTCCCTCGTCTGCGTCGCACAAGGCTAAGGATTTCCGCAAGGTATCGATTTCCCCTCTATTGTTCCTATCGTCCTCGATCAGCATTTTCACCTCCTTCAAATTACATCTCTTCTTCAAGTAAAGACTTCCTCCTCTTCTCACTCACTGCTGCATACTCTTTCCAAAAGTCGGTGAATACCCCGCTCCAATGTGATGAGTATCATAACTGCAGCTTTCCGTATGACTCGCATATGTCAAGAACTGCATGGCTCCTATTCCAAGCAGAATCGGCAACTCACATCAGCGGTGAGCGTTCTTCGAGATACAAAAACGGCGCGGCGTTGATGCAATGCAGGGGTCCATTTTGACAGCAAAGCAATGACACTCGAACCCAACCGTTTTCTGTAGCTCCAAGACATGCCATTGTGGGGAATATGATAGCTCATAATGGAGATCGACTTTTGGGTTTGGTGGAGTCGGACTTTTTGCGAGATCGGAAGTCTACAGGTACACCATGCTTGAATCATGGTAAATCGTAAGTACCTTGTTAAGTTTCGAGAAAAAATGCCATCTACGAAGGTTTGCACTTCGCTCGTCTGCTTTACCTGAAAACGGCAAGTGCGCTAAGCGCAACACTTCTGTCGAATATATGCAGCTCCTTCTACCTTCAAATATTCGTCCCAACATCTGCTGCGCCAACGTTTTTTACAGAATAACATGGCAAGCAAAATACACTGTACCTCTTCACGTGAAGTGTTTCGACTCCTGAAACACGGCGGCTACAAGCAGCTCAGCCAAGTAGCCGCCACCAATTGGGAGCCCAAGACAACCGCTCGGCAACTTTAGGTTTGCTATTTAAGCATAGTTTCTGCAAACCCTTTCATGCTGGTGGCACAGTTCAATATCAAACCCCAATAATCGGCTCTCTACAACGTTTGTGCCAATCACCAGCACTGTAGAGAGCCGCCAGCCTTCTTATTATCCCGCAAGGCTATCTTAGGAGGCAGAAACGAAATACCAACATCTTGGCGGTATGTTAGCTCTACCAATTGTTGGGATTGGCAAATTCGTAGATAGAGACAATGCCGTGTCCTTGTCAAGAGACTTCTTCATATTGCCAACTGTGTTCGATGTTGAAAGTGATCAGTTGATGGCGATCCGTGCAAAGGCCAACAAGCCGAAGCACCACTCTATATAGAGAGAGAGCTTTCCCTCGTAGATAGGCCAAGCAATGAAGCAACCTACCAACTCACCCCACTTGCTCTTTGACTCTGAGATCACCTCTAGTGATCCACTTTACCCCTACGATAAAGTAACCGTTCAATGTTCGAAATGTCTCTCCCAGTCCCTACTATTGAAAAGCCGATGCGCACGAGCCCGAAAATGAGCTACATTGACGCAGCTCTTTGTGTTTTTGAGCGTCCCAAAACAACCAGTCTCGTAACCAGAGGACTTCCAAGCACCATAGCACCGTCTCGGCTGTTTCGTCTGAAGATCTCTTGAGAGCAACTTCTAGGGTTCCATCTAGAGCTCCGTCAATCAACAGTGTCCCAATCGAGACATGGCGGCGATCCATGGGTCTCGGGTTTTCTTCGACGACATCCTTACGCCGGTGTCCTGGCTCTACTCATGGTACTTCTGTGTGCTGGCGCAGATGCAGTTGTTTTGTATAAGTTTGATGAACAGTAGGTTGATAGTTGGAGAGTCTCTCCCTCTGTTCTTTCTTCTAGCTGTTTGTTCCGCGACGGCCAATGTCTGTCTTGAGTATGCTCGCTCCGAGGGTTTATTCTTGCTGTAAGATACATTTTTCTTCTCGGTTGATTGAAGCTGAATCTGTGCAGTGGTGGTGAAAGACACTCCAAGGTGGAACGCTCTATGACCTCAGTTGGTACTGGGAGTCCAGAGACTCCTTGGAGCAGTCAAGTCTGGTCGCGGATTCAATTTCGTTGCAGTCACAATTGTCGTTGCTTCGACCATTGTCCTTGACGGGCCCTTGCTCCAACAAGCCTACACCATTGTCTCAAAGCCCCTAGTCACAACGGTGAACGTCACCGCTCCAATTGCCCGAGAAATTCCTTACGGCTACACCGGTGGATGGGATAGCGGTGTCTTTAGTTCCCCTTCTCAAAAATTTATGATGAACACAACCTTCGCACAGATCATCAACAGCTACATAACAAGGGAAAGCATGCCGAACCCTTTCAATGGCTGTTCTGGAGAATGCTACGGGATCGTGAAAGCAGCTGGGCTCGCGACAAACTGCTCAATGACAGAACTTGTGTGGGACAACAACAGCAGTAGCAAGTAAGGAGGTGAAGTATGGTGAAGTTGTTAACGAAGGACTTGGATATTCTGAATATGGAAGAGAGCAAGCGGGGCAGGAGGTGTTGACATCCAGAGGCCGAAGACTGGAACTTGCCGATCTAATCAGAATAAAGGTGTCCGAATTACAAGCTGTCTATAGCTAGAGAAATCCAAGGTTGCAATTTCACCTTAATAGATAGAGCCTTCTGAAAAGAACGTAGGGAATCAAAAAATATTCCAAAAGCCATGCATCGTTTCAGCTACCAAGAACTCCAGAGAACTAGCCCATCGGGTTGGTCGAAGTGTATTTCTATAAGAATTCCATTTACACTGATGCAGATGCTATGGGGAACAGCTTTTGCTCTGGGGGTGAAAATGCTTTCTCGCTTCATCAGCAAGATGACGAGGGGCCATAACGCTGAACCTCGAGTCCTCACTCTCGAGCCAGTAATCGTTAATGACTCCCCTCTTAATACCACTACCAACGACTTGAACTTTCCTAGCAATGATTCGCTCAAACATTGCTCGTACTTCAAGAAGCATTTTCTCAGCATCAGCATCATGAGTTAGATGGCCACTGCCGACTTTGACGCGCGGGATCGATGCATGGCGAATCTCATGACGACGTCTCAATTCCACGTTTTTGTGTAGAACAAAGGATAGAAGCACGTTAAGTGATGACATGTACTGTATCCAATTACCGCCCTCTTCGGGGAAGATAATTGCAGCTTGCGAGGCTGGGAGTCCGGGGACTTGGCCAGCATCGTCTGGTAGCTCAGGAATTTTCGTGCTTCGTTTCCGTTCGTAGAAGGAATCTCCAACATAGAGATGATTCTCATCAATGTCAAACCAAGCTAATGCATCCGGCGTATGACCTGGAGTGTGGATGAATTGGACACGAAAAGGGATGTCAGGAAGAGTAAAATAAGCCAGATGTTTAGCCCAATGCGTAATAGTATATCGTGGTGTAGGTGTGTTCATATATTTGCATAGTGAGTGCTCCGGTAAATCATTCAAGATAAATTCTTTATTGAAATCGGATGCGATGATGGTAGGCTTGGCGGAAAGAAACTGTGTGATTCCCAGGATATGATCATAGTGGCAATGAGAACAAAGAATAACGTACGCCTTGACTCCGTTGGGGTTTAGAGGCTGTTGGTTGTTCGAAGAGAGAGGAAATGTTTCTAGATATTGACGGAGGGAAATCAGAGACCGGTTCTTAGATCGAGGACTGTTGCAGCCTGTATCCGTGACCATGAGGTGGTCTGGGTACACCTTGACGTAGATGTATGGCTGCTCTCCGTAACTGTCATCCTCAATGATCAAGAAAGTCGAGGAATTGACACGACTGCTGATGAAACTCGTGCTTGGCAAGGAATAAGCCATGTCTAAGACTATCAAAGGGATCTTACAGTCAGCAAAGCGATCTACCGGTATGTATGATTCAAGGAAGCTAACAGACATCTGAATATCTGTGATAGTGCTGAATGGTTGGAAACAGGCCAGGCTGGCAGAAGGTGAGATGTGAATCTGTGACTACCTCTTGGGACAATGTAACGATGCCTGGTGTCAACAAGAAGAGGATAGAGGCGTGAGAGGTCGCTAGGACAAAGAAGTTATTCCCTCGCTAAATCTTCGCTCCAGAAAAAAAGCTGAGGCGCCCGTTTCTCCCTTCCTTTCTTCTCACCTCACCTCACTCGATCATGATACGATGTATTTAAGTCTTTGCACAGCATATGTTTATTTGATGGCGAAAACCCGGCACGTGGCGCCTCATGAATCCCAGTTCTTTCTAGGTACAACTTCTTTGCCGCGCGAAACGACACTGGTCCTTGTATAGTAGACATTGGTCGCGCCTTCAAGATATACGAGCGAGATGACGAGACGGCCATCGAACAGAGAGAGAGGCCTTACGAGCTTCAATACATGTCGCAGGACGAAGACCCTTTCTCACGCAATTCCATTATCCTCTCCCCGAGCGAGCATGTCCACCTGTCCATGGGTTTGTTATATTGTGCTGTCTACATTATCTGGTCAAAAGTTGTGTCCAGAGGTAGGTATCTATCCTACTGTATGAGACTATCCAGCCTCTCGGAGACGCACCTCAGCGCGTGAATGCTAGTCATTCTTGCTCTCACGCGTACTTGCCGCAGGTGGGTATTTTGGAGATATCGTATTATAGGCGTATAGGCGCCACAGTCCAGACTGTAGCATCCAGTCACCAGCACCTGACATTTTTAGCTGGGACGTGCCATCCCATGCCATGTTACTGTAAGCATCTCATCTTTCTAGATCTTGGAGCTTTTGACTGGCCCTCGTTTGAGGTTGAGCGGTTGTCGCAGGAGTCGCGTAGCGGCCCCTCCCCTGCTTAACCCCACCCCCAACCATAGAAAAGTTCGGCTTGAAACTTCAAGAAACCTCGCTAAGGCTCGACGATAGGGCGACGATCACTGTCCTCTCTTTGACTACAGACAGGGAGTGAGTCGACAATTGCCATGTCACTCAGATGCCATTCATTGTTCTGGTTGGTACGAGAGTCTTTGTTTTAATAACTCCAGTAGTGTTACCTTTCTGTTTAAGATTTCCTCATTTTCTTTCTTCTTGTTAGTCTATTTTCACTATGCTGTTTTTCACACTTCTGTCTTTGAGCCTCCCGAGTGAATAATGGAAAGCAAATAACCCCATTCACAATACCTAGTTATTGTTCTCAATACTTACATTCGCAATACCATTGTTCAGCAGCGCTGTCTATTGGTACTATTTAATCACTTTTGATTCCTTTCTACATCTTTTGAAACCTTTCCCACATCGTCCACCGATACCAATACACCATCATCCAGAAGTTACTCCAACTCAACACCACGAGAATTCTGCAGATCCACAGGAAGTTATCGTACTCGCAGGCGAGTCACAACAACACAACGCGAATACCACCAAGCATGAGATCTTCCATCTCTCCAAAGATAGGCCTCGTAGCCCTTGTACTGCTGGCTTGCACAAGCACAACTGAAGCACACAGCTGGGTCGAAGAGATCTATCGTATTGCTTCAAATGGTACCTTTACCGGACTGCCTGGTTACCCAAGGGGCTTCACCGCGCGAGCAGCTGGTGTCGATCCAGACCTACCCATGGTTTACCTCCTACCCCCAAACGGCCGAGCGCCTCCTGGGATACTTTCCACAGACCTGATGTGCAAAGACAGCCAGGCCATCGGAAAATATACTCCTGGATCCAACATGCTGAATGCAGCTGCCGGTGACTTCATAGCCATGACATACAATGAGAATGGCCATGTTACGCTGCCGACATCCACAACTCGACCAGCCGGTAATGGAACTGTTTTCGTCTATGGCACCCAAACGCCAGCCAACAGCGATACATTTCTTGGTATCCACAAGGTGTGGAACCCCGACGGAACAGGAGGCGACAAGCGCGGTAAACTCCTTGCAACCAGGTATTTCGACGATGGACAGTGTTATCAGGCAGCCACCGACAATGATCCTAATCCCACAAATCAACGCCCTCTTAGAGATGCCCGCAGAGCTTTGCATCCCGAAAGTACCCAAATCCCGTGTCAGACAGACGTCCAGATCCCGGCCGATGCCGGATCGTCTGGCAACTATACCTTTTACTGGGTGTGGGACTTTGCACACTTGGATCCAAGCACGGGCGCAGTTGCCACTAACGAAACCTACACAACTTGTCTAGATGTGGGCTTGACCGCGAATCCTATCCCAAAAGTTGGTGACTTCGTCGCAAAGCAGCTCGTCACCTCGGAAGCCATTAAAGAGCAGCTCGGCAAAGCAATGTTGGTCGACCCAACCGCAGCTCTGGCACTTTCAGGCGCATCCCCGGCAGCTTCACCACAAGCATCTGGAAGCCCTTCATCGCCGGTCGCATCAGCATCAGCACCAGCTGCATCGGTACTACCAGCCCAAATACCTGGATACTCAGCGATCCCACCCCAACAGTCAAGCATTGCCTCAAACCCACAATCACCGCTTACCGTCACGGTCACAGTCACAGTCCATGATGGAGGCTCAGGCTCCAGTGCAAGCGCACCAGTCGCGAGCTCCCAGCCAACCACACTCGCCACCTCCGCAGTCCCTCAAGCAGGACAAAATCCAGCTCCAATGAGCTCGGCATCGGCACCAGCACCAAGCAACAGCTCAAGCGTGGTCTTCGTGGCCCCATCAGTACTTTCACCTGCTCCCTTCAACACAGGCTCACAAGCCGCGACATCCGCTGTCGTCGCAACGCCAGCTGCAGCTGCAGCAGCTTTGCAACGCCGTCGAGCTCTCTGAGCAAGGCGAGGTGACTGCATCCTGTTTTGGTTCGCTTCGTGATACGAAATATGATAGGAGTTTAGGAGTAGGAGGATATCACGGATGCATAGAATGTTGTAATAAGATCTTATTTAGATGGATATGTTAGATCATTTCGCACTTGTAAAAGATGTGATGAGAGTATAGTATATCGTTGATATATAGCTAAATATAATACCCTTAACTAGAAATTAATCTTAAGTTTTTTATATAAAAATATAATGTGACTAGAAAATAACTTTTAAACTAGGTCGGCAATTTTTCTTTTTCTAAATTTATAAAATTGCTTATAACTATTAGTATTATAAGATAGCTAAATAAATCACTTTGTATTCTAAAAGTGCTAATATAAAGTATATTATATTTTTAAGAAATAGTGGTTTTATTATAATAGTTATATAAGTATAATTAGAAGTAATTATAA